CCAGACTACAAAAAAACATGATTGTTTTTCTTGGTAGTTCCAGCATCTAAGAACACAAAACTTCAAAAAGTCAGTGTATAATATTTGCTATAAATACTAAATCCATCCATTTCTGAAAATTACAGCACAAACAAAATGTTGTATATTCCCTTTAAATTTAAGGATTGTCTTCCCTTATGACTTATATTTTCGGATGTTGAACAGCTCAAAGTTCACGCATTATTCTAATTAAAGGATTTGATGTTCGTTAACAGAAAAGTAAATGGATCCATATCAAGCAGTTCGCTCGTACCCCCCGCCCGGCAAACAGGACGCCGGGATACTCTGATGAATTTACGCTCTGATTGGTTGGATTTTTCGTGACCAGTGACCTGCGCGTCATCAAGGTCATGACTCTGCAAGGTTTGAAACGGCCGTTAAGACTGATTCATTACTCTTTTATTCCAGTTCAGAGATGTTTTTTTTTCTCGTTCAAAAGCGTAATAATGTAGGAAATTCTGTAAAACTTATCTACGGTGTTGTAAATTTACAATTCCCGTCACTTGCTCAGGCTCCGTTTCGAATCACGAACGATCGGATTGCATTATGCGACGCTCCAAATTGTCAATAAAAACAGAAATCACATCCGGTATGGAATGTGCGCAATTCTATGGGAAGTTTTCGGATAGCACTTGCGCACATTGTCTAACTGCGGTCTTGAACAGCTGCAGCCAGATGCTTTATACATAGGTCATAGGCCACTTCCTTCACAAGATTCTGTGAAGCTCATCAGAGTATCCCAGCGTCCTGTTTGCAGGGCGGGGGGTACGAGCGAAATCAAGCAGCAGTCTCAAAGGTCAGGTACAAAAACGTATTATTCAGCACCTCAGTCCCCCCCCCCCCCCCCCCCCACCGGCCTGTCATCTTCTTCTTCTTCCAAGTTCTGCACCAACTTCATATTGTTGAAGACTAATGCTCATTGTTGGGTCCTACCCGATTATGGGGGAATTGCTGCACTTACGTTAATACCAAACCCAGGCGCGGTTCTACGTGGGGGCTGGGGGGGGGGGCCGTAGCCCCCCAAAATTGTGTCTAGCCCCCCCCCCCCCCCCCCCAAAAAAAAAATCCGTAAAAAAACAAAATTGCATTAGCAAAAGAAAGATTGTGATGTACATGCGAACGGTCTCCCCCTAAAGTAGAAATAGCCGTGACAAGGGTGGCATTAGTTAATATAGTGTGAATGATTTTAGGATTTTATTGGCGCTCCCCATTGAAAATATGGCATGAGTTTCTCCCCCCCCCCCCCCCAACCTATTGATTTTCGGAGGCCTAAGAGTCTGAAAAAAAAACCCGGTCAACATTTCAGCACGCCTCCCTGAAAAAAAAAATCTGGATCCACCGTGCTAGCCCCCCCCCCCCCCAAAAAAAATATTTGTTCTAGAACCGCGCCTGGGGAGGTCAGGGAAAAATGACTCGTTTCTTCTTCTTCTTTTTTATAGAAATACATAACAAATAATGTGAATTCCCCAACCCTGCTCTGGCACACGCAAAAACCAATACATGTGTATACTGTTAATAATGTCCACTCGTTCAACAAAGCCCTGTAATAAAGGGTCCCCCCCCCCTCCGACAATTCAAGCTTTGTCTTTTTCTGGTAGAAATTCCTTTTAAATAATGCGAAATAACCCCACCCCCACCCCCGCTCAACACCCACAAACATTTTACTGGTACAAAATACGGACAGAGCCAGCTTCGTTAGGGCGTATTGTGTACACTCTTCTATAATATAGTGTTGCAATCGTCTGATTTGAACAGCATCCCCATTGAAAGAATAGTACGAGCCCTCCCCCACCCCCACACACCCACCTATTGATTTCAGAGGCTAAGTGTCCGGAGAAAAAAAAACCTGTCTGCATTTCAGACTTTTTGGGCAGATGACCCCCCCCCCCCGCCCCCGCAAAAATTACTGGATCCGCATGCACAAGAGGAATAATCATGCGTATTAAACAAAAGCACACACATCAAAGATGGGTTTAACACGGTTGTAAACTCGACCTATCGACGGACATAATGAGAACTTATGGACTGACTGAGAGGATACATGTACAGATAGTTTGTCTTTTACTGCAAAATTAAGCCGCCACCGCTGGGCTACAGACGAGCAGTCCTCATGCATGCTGATGTCCAGATCTTCATCAGCTTGACACCTAAACACTCATAACGTTCTCTCGAAAAAAGACAGCATCATCGTTCAAGACCAAGCAACATCAACTTATTACGGGATCACCTCTGTACTATAGTCAAAAAATCCCACTAGCATTTGCCTCATGAGATTACTCAACAAGCTGGTGCATGACGAATCGCAGGAATTATAATGTTTTGCTGATTGTGAACAAGTTGTCTCTGACTTGGTGCAATCGAGCAGTCCCCCAATGTTCTATGATAGGCCCTTCGTTGTTCATTATTTTTACCAATGATTACCGGATTCTGTCTCTCATTGTAAGAATGTTACATAATGCTGACTACACGCTAATTCTCTGTGGTTCTGAACAAATTTCAGGTGAGGAAAAAAAAACTTTAATTATCATGAGCTCATAACAGTTTCTGGCTGATGGGCATATTTGCATAAAGATTAACTTTGAATACTTCCAAATGTAAGGCTATGCTCTTTGGATCGTCTAAAAATGAAACAAAATCATCTCGTGGTTTCAATGTTAGACTTAACAGTGATTAATGTCGCTGAATTTAAATATCTTGGTTTGTTGAATTATTTGGAACAAACAAAGGCCGTGCTCAAAACATGGAGTACCCAAACGATTACGGCATTCTGTTCAACTCTTCTGATCAACTCTTCACATATTTTATAAAACACTTGTTCTTCCCCAAATAGATTATTGTCTCCCGGTTTGATTTAATACCTCTGAAAAGTGTCTCAAAAGGATTCAGATTCTACAAAAACGAGCGGCTAGGTTAGTTTTGGGTTTCCAAACAAGAGATCGTCACGTCAATGATCTGTTTAACAGACTTTGATGGATAGTGATCAACTAACGTAAGACGTATTTAATGCCGCATTGGTGTCATTATTGTATCAATCGATTAGCTCCTTCGTCGCTCGTCCCCCCCCCCCCCCCCCCCCCACCCTGCAAACAGGACGCTAGCGCTACGGCCTTCATAGGGTGCAGACCAGTAAACAAAGACCCCGTTCCCACTTGATCCACCAATTGGTGGATCTGATCCACCTTTTGCCAAATTGCCGGATCAGATCCCCCAATTGGTGGATCAGATCCGGCAATTGTGTGTAGTGGGAACGCTAACCGTTATAAGGTGGATCAGGACCAGATCCACCTTTTCTGATCCACCTCTGGACCAGGATACAGATCCCCCAATTGGTGGATCAGATCCGGCAATTGCTGGATCACGATCAGATGGGAACGCAAAAGGTGGATCTGATCCGGAAATTTGACCTGTTAACATCCGCCCGGTGCACGAGTGGCGCGAAAGTGTTGCGGTCTCATGAACGAAGAAACACGTTTTCAGGCGTGTAGCTCATGTGAACATTTCCAGCGTATACAACATGCACAATAAACAACCGCTGAACTACGGGCTACCACCGCGCATGCAAAAACGCACGTGGTATCCTAAAACTACGCTGTAGGCCTTATTTTTGTTGCGTGTTCGTCCATTACTAAACCGTTTTCATTCCTGAAATTTTACTTATTTTTCCATCCATAAATGACTCTGAGTCCGCACTCACCAAAAGACTTCACTTTGGCACAGAATCATGGAAAAGCTTACGAGTATGCGATGAGAATAGTGCCAATAACGCGGTACGTACGGAGGTGACAAATCTGAAGTATTGATTATAGAAAATTGGAAAATGATGTCGTAGTACATCATGTGACCGTTTCTAACCAATGAGAAGCTTCAGAACCAGGGAATCCCTTATCGATGCATTGGTTTCTGCCGTGATGTCACACAATGAGCGGCTCTGTTGGATTTCACCTGTTAATTTATGCACGCACGGATCCTCTACGGATCCGTGATTTATGTAGGTGAATTTGCGTAATTTTTGTCTGTGAATTCTGATAGTGCTGTTTGAAAACTGACCCATCCTGGCCTAGCCTGCAACCATGCAACAATGACACTCACACAGAGCGCGCGTAATTCCGAACTCAGTGACCTTTCGGACCCAACATTTCCGTACGAAAAGGTGGATCAAGCATAAGTGGGAACGCGACTTGCGGTTTCGTTGCGGTAAGATAACGATCACACCAAAATGCCGGATCTTGATCCACCTTTTTCCAATTCAAGTGGGAACGCGGTGATATATTATATACTGCCATAGACCCCAATGATAAATGCCCCAACTTCAGAAATTCAGGAAAAATACTCACAACTCTCCAATTTGTGTTCGAGACACACATCAAATTAAAGCTTATTTCATCATTTCTCATCTTCTTTTCAATTTTTCGGGGGTAATCTGATGACTTTTGGGAGAACTTAGAATTTCTATCAGAGGATGATCACCCCTTAAAGTAGTCCTGAAGCCCATCACCATTTTGAAAAACGGTACGGTGCCTACACCCCATTGCAAAGTAGTAATAGAGCGCTTTAAGGGCCCCAATTTCATCCACTGCATGGATTACACAGAAATACAAGCTCATAGTCATGATGTGCACGGCTTCCACCCTAAATTATTTTTTTTTTACAAACTGTCAAGCTCTGCCCACAATGTGCTCAAATAACGAAGAATTTCAGGGCATGCAAATCGTGATTTGGCCGGCGTAGGCAATTTCTGACCGATTTACTGGCTTTGCACCATATGTCTATGTTTTGCACTCACAATGACGGGTATACTTGAGTAGGCTTCACGCGTGACACTACACGCGGTGCACATTGAACTCTGTTCCTGTTCAGACGTTATCAGTCTGTAGGTCTTTGAGTGGAGATCAACGGTCATGCACGTATATGAATGTACGTGGTGTCCGATGTCATAACAATCACGTGCTGGCCATTGTATGCAATCAGGAAATAGCGCTGGGATTTTCCCAGGATATACACTTCGAAGTATCGGTACTGCATTTGTAGGCATGTCACTTATATTTTGCACGTTGAGCAACGATTGGTAAAAATATTATTTCGATATCCAAGGAATCGAATCTTTGTCGTCACCTGTTGAAATTTAGACTCCAATCCCGGACGGAAAATTTCGTCAGTTGTCGCAATCTGAAATTATCTGCAAACATGGCTGGAGAATTTCTTCCCAAGCTTTTCAGGTAAAATTATTAGTTACTGTAATATGGTGTAATGATTTGGAAGTTATTATGGTTGACCCTCCTTTCTGCAAAGTAGGCTGGTCCCCTGCCCCCAAACATACCGAAAACAAAATGCAATTATTGTACATTTTATGTGTACGCCCTTCAGAGCATTATTTGCAATCCCTAAACATTTCCACTGCATGCAAACTGCAATGTATTGTCACAACCCGGAAGCATTTTGCGTCGCAATTTTTTTTTATATTTCTGGATTCGTTTGTATGAATTGAAATATATACATCAACCATGCAGCCTTAAGTAAATTATTTCCTACGGACAAGGATATGACTAACAAAGAATAAAGACATTTCTTCTTCTGCAATCCATATACAGTGGCGGCGCCAGACCTTAAAATGTATTAAGCGGCATCAAACTGAAACTAAAGAAATAAAAGAGTGTCAACCATCATCAAAATGTGTCTACTTTAATTCTTGTTTTCAGCTTCATTGACGAAAATCAGGATGAGTACGTCAAGAGATTGGCTGATGCAGTTGCCATACAGAGTGTGTCTGCTTGGCCGGAGAAACGATCGGAGGTCAAACGCATGCTGGAAGTAGTGGCCCAGGTATAAATACACCGTTTCATAGATATCACCATCATCACATCTTTGGGGCATTTCACTGAAAATATTATCCATCATGCATTGTATCCTCGGCATGATGGGACATATTTTCAAAGAATGCCCCAAAGATTACCACGTGATCACAAAGATGGCGGTTTGTGAAACGGACTATGTAGAGGGAGTCAGCGAGATTCATAGATTTATGTTTGAGGTAGGCGGAGGTAGCACTTTTTGAGGGGGGGGGGGGTAATAAGCACTTCAAAGTTGTAATTGAGTCAAACACATGTCAATCTTGGGCTATCATGAGTTCATCACAAACAGTCATAACTTATAAGCATGATCAATCACATGCCATGATCGTTTTACTTGTAGGACCTCCGAAAGCCAGAAGTCGGAGCGACGATTGAGCTAGCAGACATCGGCATGCAGGAGTTGGAGGATGGAACGCGCATCCCGTTGCCTCCTATCCTCCTTGGTCACCTTGGCGACGACCCCAAGAAGAAAACGGTCTGCATCTATGGTCACTTGGATGTGCAGCCGGCCAAAAAAGTCAGTGCAGGGGAACATCTGAAACGGGCTTTGTTAACATTTTTGGAAGTGGAACTACAACCCTATAGACCTATACCCCCAAACTTTAACATAAATCCAAACCCAAACCCTTATCTTAATCTCACCCTAACCCTCCCTCTAACCTTGCCTCACCATAGCATATCTAACCCTGGCCCAAGAACTTAAGTCGCTATTCCGTTCAGCTTTGACTCAACATTTCCCCAACAAGAGCATCAAAAAATTATGAAAAGCTCTCACTAAAGTCTACTGGTGAACTGCAGATCAAGTATCACTGAAACAAACTAATTTTGTATGCGAAGTGTTCCCGGAAGTTGTTTTTGAGCTCACAGTTTTCATAGATGGAATCGGATCGGTATGCTGTGTAATAATGCAGCGTATAAAAACTATCAACCTCAACTTTCCATTTCAAGTATTTGTCCACACTTATTAATCTTTTTAGCAAGACCCTAGTTAGAATCATATGCTCTCCTTGAACTGTGAATCAATGGTAAGTTGACAATTTTTGTTCAGGAGGATGGCTGGTCGACCGACCCGTTCGTTCTGACTGAAGTTGACGGCAAGTTGTACGGACGTGGCTCGACTGATGACAAAGGACCTGTACTATCCTGGCTGAACGTCATTGAAGCCTACTGCGCCTTGAAGCAAGACATTCCCATCAACATCAAGGTGAGTAAATGTGGATATGAACCTGGGACCCCTAAAGCAAAAACTAAATACTGATGTGAGCAAATGTGGATTCAAACCCTGGACCACTGAAAAAAACCACCTAAATATCAAGGTGAACAAATGTGAATTTGAATCATGAACCCCACAATCGCCAAATTAAATATCAAGGTCAGCAAAATGTTGATTCAAACCCTGGACAACTGAAACACAAAACCAGCATTTTGTTCTTAATTCATGGAGAGGGTTTTCGAAATCTCGGTTTCATCTGCAGCTGTGGCTTCAAGAGATGTTAGGTCCTGAATTGGAGAACTGCGGCTCAATCTTGGTCCATATTGTGCTTAAAGAAAATCAAATCGTATGGGCCATAGTTTGGAGTGTTTCTATGTGATTTGGACATTGAAAAGAAATGATTCTGAAGACAATAATGATGCCCAGGCTGGAGCTAAACCGAGGTTTTAAAAACCTACTCAGATAATAAGTTAACATGCAAATTCCACCTGTTTGTGTAAATAGAAATCAATTGAGAAATGTACTGCCAATTACAGTATTCCACAGGTCGCAGGTTCCAATCCTGCTGCAGTCGATCTTTCCTAGGCGTCATCAGAGATTAGTAACCTAGCCTGGTACTACCCTCACTTATATTCTATTTGCAGTTCTGCTTTGAAGGAATGGAAGAATCAGGCTCTGAAGGTTTAGAGGAATTGATCGTGGCTCGTAAGGACACATTTTTCAAGGTACATGTAGGTTTGTTTTAGCGTGCCAAACTATCCATTTTAATCTCGCTGACCGACTGGATGATGACTGACGACTTAATGCCTGAATGCTTGTCACTACTGAGACTGCGTGGTTGTATGGTGATGAGAATTGGGCAGTGCTAGCTGTGTGATGACGTCAACGAGTGGGCTTATAATATTGTAATTAAGCCCATTGTGAAGGCCAGTGATGCATGTAGTCGAGTCCGTCCATCACAAGTCCAGTCACAAGTCCAGTCACAAGTTACAGTGGATGAACAACAACAAACGAATGTCTTCGTCAAATAATCTCATTGAAATAGCTTGTGCAATAAGCATATGTACTAATGACGTCACACTTTGTTTTACATGTATATGCTTTTTTTATGGGAGTCTGGTGTGGACTGGAAAACTTGCAGGGACTAATTGTGATGGACCCGACTACATCCCTGGTATATGCTACATATTGATAGCCATTCTTAATCATTGAGTAGGATTTAATTCGGTGTGCCATTTTGACGATGTTTTCTTGACACAAATTAGCATATTTGCTGGGAATCGTCCATTATTACACTGCTTTGTTTTTCTCTTTTCATCTCAGGACGTGGACTACGTGTGCATCTCCGACAACTATTGGCTGGGCAAGAACAAGCCGTGTATCACATACGGTTTGAGGTAAGATACTGAATTCCTGCATGGGGCTCTAGTCGTTAAACGTTTAAAAGCTTGCGACATCAAATCCACTTTGTGTGATTATCAATTTTCAAGCCTAGCAGATTGTGAAACATACTCTTGCATTTCACAGGTTGTATTTTCTTGTCCCAGCATGGTGCCCCCTTTGTCCCATCCCACTGACTGACTGACTGTCTCCCCTGGTAACCTGTCCCGCTAACTGGCTGTCCTTAATTCATGCATGGCTCATACTGGTCTTGAAACAGATTTACTAAGCTTTCTTAACCCTGCGCAGCGTTTACAAAAAAACTTTACAACAACTCGTCAACTGCTGCCCAGTACTTTCCCGCACTACGCAAGACCCTATTCATAGCAATACAACAAAAAGCCACGTGCCAGACAGTGTCCAGACAGTTGCCAGACAGTGCGCTGGAAAGATAATTGACTGGCGGCTGTGGTATGCAGTTATGAATTGAGATGACTGTGTCAAGTTACAGGTCTTTGTTGATTTTCAATGAGACTTGGCAGGAGGCCTGGTCGAAAGTTTGTTGACACGGCCTGGGTGTAGCCCTGGCTGCAAAATTCATTGAACCAGCTGATTTGGCAAGGGTTGAATGAGGATTAGATAGAAGGTGAACGTTATTGGCCCTCAATTTTTTTCCCCTAAAAATTCGGTTACCTGGGGCCCAAAGGGTAGCAGGTCACTCTGCGCAGGGTTAAGTCTCGTTTTATTAGCAACAACACAAAAGAATGCTTGCAAAGTGCAATTTGGCTGAAAGAAGACTTGTGGCTAATGCCACAAGTTACTTGTGACAGCGAGACAAATTAAGTTGAATAATTGGAGCTCTTTACTGTTCTCTTGTTTTTCAGGGGGTTGTGCTATTTCTTCGTGGATGTGGAATGTTCCAAGAAGGACCTGCATTCTGGTGTCTATGGGGGCTCTGTGTAAATATTAATATGGTTCTTCCAATATAAAAATATTGGAATGTGCGCTAGTCTGTTGAAAAACCATTCGCCTTTTTGAGATAAGTTGGACACAATTAGAAAGAGCAAAGGTTGGATCCAGAACAATATTATTTTTTTTGGGGGGGGGGAGGGGGAATGGAAGTTTAATTGGTCCGCCAAAACTCAGGCCCAAAAGAATTACGGCGTGGGGTTCGGGGCCCGCTTAAGGCTCCCGAATTTTTGTTGGATTGTAAATGCTCTGTGGTGCGATCTGAGACAATTTCTGACAAGATTGTGGTGTACGTAGTGCCTGCCTTAATTGCGACGTCACTTTGGGGGGGGGGGGGGTAGGGCATTGCCCATATTGCCCCCACCCCAACCCCAGGAAATATTACACTCATTTTGCGTGAATGGTCTAGCGACGCCCTGTGATTAAGTTCATAACGCCTTAATTGTCCTAATGTTCGCTTGTCATTCTGTATAGGCATGAAGCCATGACGGACCTGATAGCGCTATTGGACAGCCTAGTAGACGTCACAGGTCACATCAAGGTCCCTGGTGTCTACGACAAAGTCGCTGAACTGACGGAGGAAGAAGCCAGTCTCTATGGACCAATCGACTTTGACATGGTACGGGCTGACAAAAAATATCATCTCTTGATCATAAGAACTCACGCCGCTTAACTTTCTACATACCTCATTATTCATCAAACGCAAATGCATTTGGAAACTTTGCAAATAAAAACAATGATATTCACCAAAAAATTACTTTCAACTTTAATACGTACAAGGAAAGGGAAACCTGTCAGAGAAACAAATATTTCTCAGACAGATCAAAACCTTACTGTTTGTTTGTTTTGTCCAAGTGGTTTTTACGTCACATTTTACCCTCTTGTGTTTCCATGCAGGAGGAATATCGTCAGGAGATTGGAACTGAACGTCTGCTTCACGATACCAAGGAGAAGATTCTGCAGCATCGTTGGCGCTATTCGTCCCTGTCCATCCACGGTAAGATGCATCGTCAGTTTGTTTTGTTGTACTTCCATGTACGCGTTACAGCTTGGTGAATCAAATCCAGGCTTGGGAACGTCGGCAGCGCTACCCATGAAGTTATAAGCATTACCACACACGCCTGCATTAGCTTGAATCACGGAGCCTCTACACTAGGATAAACGACTGCCCCAAATTTCTGGTGAGAGGCGTGATCATATTAGTCAATGCAATAGATGCGCGAACAGATTTGCTGATTAATTAGGCAGATCCCGCCTCTTGACTTCCTAGATTTTGACCAATCAGCAGGCGCTTTCTATAGGTCTTCAGTCATTCACCCGTTGCGCGTCATAGACATGGGATTTCAAAAAAAGTGTTACGGCGCGCGGCGCTCGGTATCATGTTACGCGAATGCGCTCCCGGCTGTTGTTGTATTACAAAACGCTGCATTCGAATTGACCAATCACAGTCCTGATTTTGGGATGAAGAGACGTCACGATTTAGTAAAGTCGACTCCGATTGGCTGGCGCGCGGCTTGCATAAATCTGCATTCTTTGTCATATTAGACGTTAAACAGGAGATGGCTCCGTGGATAACGGGTGATACTCAGACTATGATCATGCTGTATTTAATATACTACTTCCAAAGCGGCTTCACAGCGCTTGCCACGGTCCACTTGTAAAGGAGGAACTTACTAAATCAAGTTGGACCAAGACTACTTGACGTGAGGTTAGATTCTGGAGTTTTAAGTTCAATGTTGTAGATTAAGGATGATTCAAAAGCTTTCAAGTCAGATTTGATATATTAAAATGATAAAATAAATTTAGATGTCGGTACACGAATCAACTTTAAGATTGATTAATTTTCAGGAATCCAGGGGGCCTTTGACGGACCCGGTTCAAAGACAGTGATCCCTCGCAAAGTGACTGGTAAATTCTCCATCCGTCTGGTACCCAACCAATCGCTGGAAGATATTACACAGTTGGTAGTGAAGTATCTGACTGATATTCACAAGGCGCGAGGCTCACCCAATAAAATAAAGTGGGTACCTTTTTTTAAACCTCGGTTTTACCTACTACTGGTTCCATCAGTTCCAGAATCGTTTAAAATCCTCTACGTTTCAAACGATTTTCTAAACTGTGTCTTCATTGTTGGATTCGATGTTCCTGAGGTCAGAACAAGGAACTCATTGAGCAGCAGCCATTTGCTATTTTGTAACATTTTGGGGAAGTAGTTATGCGGGGAAAATATGCAAAAAAAATCTTCACGTCATACAATTCGTAAGGGCCGGTCTGAAATTTGATTTGTTCACAAATTATTATTGTAAAACATGTTAAAAGCGTATTTTACGAATTTTGTGATATGGGCTCGCTTTAGGCTCGACCATCATCAATTAGTCTATCGATTTTGTTGCCTAACTGATTTTAATAGCACATATTTTCAACTAAATTCTTATAAGATTCTTATAAGATTCTTTGAAGATTCTTTTTAAGATTCTTATAAGATTATTGTAAGATTCTTATAAGAGTATTTCGTAGGCAGTATGGATTTCCAAAAAAAATACTTCAATCAATTTATACAAGTACTGGGCAGTTGTTCTGTAAGAAAACAGAACAAAAGTTGTCTCCCAAGCAGTACTGTAATACTTGATTTGAATTGCGGTTTTTTTGTCTTCTTGGCAGCATTTCGGTACACTTCAGAGCGAAGAGTTGGCTGAGTGAGTTTGACCATCCTCACTACATTGCTGGCCGCAAGGCCGTCAAAACAGGTAAATATTTAGTACACATTTCGCAACGTCTTTGTCAAGCGGCAAATTCGAAGTGGTCACAAATATCCAATGCATCGCGAATTTTGTTTCGTCCATCTTTCATAACCATTTTGTTTATAGGCACAGGTTCAAGATGTAATACATATACGATGTTTTGTGTTGCGGGATAAAATCACTTCGAATTTGATTCAAACATATCGCGCCATAAGTCGCACAATTTTCTCGCGTAAATGTAAACATGCCCGTGCCCCCCAGCCTACTTTACATTTGTCGCATCTTCCCCTATCTCTACCCTGAATATTTCGACGTTTTGTTGTTCTCTCTCCTAAGTCTTCGGGACTGAGCCCGACATGACACGTGACGGCTGTAGCATCCCTGTGTGCCTGGCGTTCCAGAACGTCGCCAATCAGAACGTCATGTTGCTACCCTTGGGCGCGTGTGACGACAGCGCTCACTCTCAGAACGAGAAATTCAACCGCTCCAACTACATCAACGGGGTGAGAACCATTTCCCCCTCGAAATGGGGAATATATTTTAGCATATTTACTTCATTCCTTAAGATGCTTTAAAGTGCCAGACAATAGAAAGCTTTTGTGGAGTCCATGACATGAATCTTTATCTTCATTGTCGGTTGGTCTGTTGCCCGTTTCTAACATTATTTCCCGTTCTTATGCAAATTTCAATATGATAAAAATCAGTCATGTGGTCATGTCGTCCAAATCACAATATGTCCTCTTACATGTCTTAAAAACTGTTTCACAAATGACGTTAACTGACAAACTGTGCTCTCCTTAACACATGATGTACCAGACTCACCCCCCCCCCAAAAAAAAAAAACACAAGAAACCAAAAAAAACCCACCAAATTTAATCCAAGGTAGGGCCTACACGTAGGCCATGATGAAATGGCTGAAACATTTTTGGTAACTTGTTTTGTTTTTCTTGTACTTTTCTTTTTATCATTTTGTTAAAGGTTAAACTACTAGGAGCCTACTTTGAGGAGGTAGCTAAACTGGAGTAAAACCGCCTAAACTGGTTGAACCGACCACTAGCTTGGATTGAAGGTTTTATTAACCAGCTCTCACTTTCAACTGTTTAGGATTGGAAGCTCCTTTAAAGCATCCAAAGCAATTTTCAAGCAAAATTGCGCTTTTTCTATACAAAAAAAAGGAATATGCAATATTCATTCAAAGATTGGAAACTCTCTATCAATGAAAATGTTGTTTTCACAATGTTTTTCCTGGTCATTTCACGCCAAATATATAATTTTGAGTTACAGCATAACTTTTGGGGTAAGGAGTCATGTTAATTATATAATTCTGAAATATATATTTTACTATAGGTTTTTTCGGCCAATTTCCTGAAATGTTCATGCACTTCTGAAAATTGGTCATTTATTTTCGTCCGAATTTAAAAACATCTTTAATCCCATTTCAATTCAACAAAAAGTCAATCAATCAATCAATCAATCAATCAATCAATCAATCAATCAATCAATCAATCAATCAATCAATACATTTTCTAAATCGATTTCAGATACCGCTAATTTGACTGACGGTTAATGAAAAGAAACCCTTCATTGTATATGGTGCCGATGGCATTACATTAAAAGTGAAACAGAATGGGGGATGTTTGAAACCGCCCTCTATCTAATAGCGAAATTTAAAGAAGTCTTGTAAACGAATCTGAATGGATAAAAAATGAAAGGTGCTGCACAATCACATTGAATGAACTGAAATGGATTCAAATGCTCTGGTAGCGAAAATGAAACGCGTGTTCAGAGCACCTAGCGATTCAGAAATTCAGATGAAAATGAATGACCGATTTTTAGACGTAAATGAACAAGTTATATTCTACAATCATTATACCCGTTATTGGACATGGTCTGGTAGTAATTTCTAGCCGTGGTCTATCTTCTGAAATATTACGTCTTTGCACTCGGAGCTTGTTTGAAAATGAGATGACTATCATTATAAATAAAACTATCGTGGACTGCCGTTTAAGAATTCTTTTCTTTTGAAGATTAAGAACTGTCAACAATATATTTTCAATGCTATGATTGCTGAATAAAAGAAATACATTTGTACCAAGATTTTAAATTCTTTTTTTTTCATGAGTGATCTTTATTGAACATGGGACCTGTCTTCTGACGTTGTCGTCCGACATGTCATCAACATCGTTAAAGTGATATAAAAACAAACACTACTAGAAAAGAAATCATAATTTTAACATCACAAATGAACAGAAGGTCAACGGAGAAACAAAAGTGAAAAAAAAAAACCCAAAGATTGACTGCATTCTAAGAACCATTGAAATTATCTGAGTAAAAGCGACAATCACCTTGCACATAACTTGTTTAACCTCAAGCGCGATATGTAGTTATCAACTATGTACAGACAATGTGACCATCCAGCAGAACACCGGTCACTTGGACCAAGTTGAGAAAACTGGGATTTTATGCTCATGGAAAAGGACATTGAATAAGCTTTCCAATTACGAATAAAATCAGGGAATGCGACAAAATCTGACGGAGATATAGCTATTTTCAGTTCCCAGTTTTCGGGCCTCAGAAAGTTAAAAGCACAACATTTGTCGTTAAAAGGTTTTTTCAAATAAACTCTGTATTTTCTATGACAGTAGTTTTAACGAAATTTGTCCTCACTTATTTACACAAATTGTTATCAATATTTAATGTGTTATTGGCTGTATCCTAAAGTATGGCCGTGTGACTTTCGACTACCTTTGTGTTGGATCACATATGCAAAGAAAAGTCATAACAAGAACCAGTTTATACATGTGGTGGGGTGAACAGTTTCAGCCCCGGACATGCAATCACTAACCTTGTTGCTTACAGCTAACGCTAAACTTAATGAATGATGAAAGGTTTGCAGAAACACCATGTGTGAATAATTTCTCAACCAAGAGAATGGTTCTGAAAAGAACCAGAGGTATAATCTCTACGTTCCGGCCAGTATGCTCCGACCGTCTTCAGGAGAGAGACAGTCAGAGCATACTGACCGGAACGTCGAATTTATACCTCTGGTTCTTTTCAGAACCACTCTCTTAGTTGAGAAATTATTCGCACGTGGTGTTTCCGCAAACCTTTCATCATTTAGTATCTCCACCATGCAAAGCCTCAAATCTTACTTAATGCTAAACTTTACAGTTGACAAAAATGCCCTACACTACAGTTTAAACCAACAAAAAACCTTTAAAGTCTTGGGTGTTAGCTCAACTTTCTACATGATTATGTCAAAAATGCATCAGCTTGGAATAGACCAGATGCACAACAGCCATCTTGGAGGGCATGTGTTTGTTCTGCAGAGAGACATGACTTTGGCTGTGCCCGAGTTACGTGGCTACGGCTAGGGTTACACAGCGCCTATGGAAGCGGCTGCAGCCACTTCCTATATACACGTGATATTGCCAGCCATAGCCAGGTCATTTTGAATGCAGCCTTAAGTTGCTCTTGTTTATTCATTGTTGCATAATAAAAGCTACCGAAACTTAAATTAACACTACAGTTTTTGCACCTCTGAGATGGCCGACATGCATGAGGTCTATATTTCGACGGTCCATTTTCAAAATTCCAAGCCGTGCATGCTGTGCTGTTAAAAAAATATCTACAAACTTTAAGAAACTCATTAAACAGATCATTCAGAGTATCAGAACAAAAAGAGCAAACAGTTTAGTTATCTTCACAATCTGTCCGGGAACCTTTGGACAAGCAGAAAGTCAAGTATACAGTGTTTCAAAAAATACAAGCCGACATCAGTTGATAGCATAAAACGAACCCATAACTTTGCAACTTAAAAAGTATGTCGACTAAAACCTACATTCATGCATCTTCTAAGGAATGACACAAACTTCCTTGTTGCTTAGGATATGGAACAGAGGATTTCTACACGATTCAGACAGCGTAAAGTAACAATTGGTGACCACTTTTAGGGTGATATGAGAGCTTTAAGTACAGAATAAAGAATTTCAATGTGTGCGCAAAAATTAAGCAAACACACTGGCTGAAAAGCGACAAACAAGACCACATAATTGGCTAACTTTCTTTGAAAACAGTTATTACGTGGGAAGAGGTTGCTTCCAAAAATCAGAGCATCCGTGTTTTGTTGTGCATATTTTGTTTGTTGCCTTCTCATGCGCGTGTCTGTGTTGTGGAAAGTTAAAATACAGTGTGTGTCTTTCTTGTGAAGACAAAATACGCATTAGGATGTGTACAGACACTTGGAATATGGGTCTTCAAGTTCTACATGTATCGCAAGGAATCGTGTGGATTATTGTAGTTTAGTCCCTGTCACTGTGGCTACCGCTACGGCTACGTGACTGCCTCTCACGACTGCCATTCTGCTCAGGGCTGCGGCTTCGAGACCGACTGCGGCTGCGGCTATGACTGCTGCCTCGACTGCGGCTACGTTTAGGGCTTGCGCTGCCTTTATGGCTGCGACTACGTCGGGGGCTGGGGCTGCGCTTGCGGCTGCGGCTACGCCTAGGGCTAGGACTGCGCTTATGGCTACGTTTGGGGCTTGGACTGCGTCTGGGGCTGTGGCTTCGGCTCTTCCTGCAAGAAACAAAACAAAAAACAGGGAAATGGAGTCATGAAGGTGGTCCCAAGGCTCACTAATTTCTAAACAAAAACCACTTTATCAACTTTTTGGCTGTGACTGAAGTTGTAATTTGTTCTGTACGAACACGTAGGTAATACCTGTAGGTAATACCTACATGTTAAATTGATTGGTCCACTGGACCCCAGCCCCCGATGTGGGGTGCTGTGGTACAATGGTTACGGTGTTCGACTCGTGTGCCATGGTACATGGGTTCAAATCCTGATAGTGGGAACATGGTGCTTGTGCTCTTGAGAAAGGCACTTTACCATTATTGCTTCGTCCTGCGGATGGGACGTAAAGCCGTAGGTCCCGTGTGTTTGGTAATGCACGTTAATGAACCCAGTAACACTTATCGCTAAGAGAAGGGGTTTGCCCCGGTGTTTCTGGCAGTGGCTGCAATATGCGCCGCAGCACCTTGTAAACCCTTATGAGGTACTACATAATGGGTCTCATATTTCTCATAAACTTCATTTGCCTGTCTTTAATAAAGACAATTTCCAGCGCCTTGAGAACCTAATTGTTGGTAGATACGTGCGCTATATAAGACTCCGGTAAATAGGATTACAATTATTTGGTTTACCTTGGGGAGCGGCTTCGGCTACGGCTTGGTGTCCTCTTGTGATGGCTGCGGCTACGACTACGTCGGCGATCTCTGCTTCGGCTTCAAAAAGACGATAAAAATACTTTTACGATCAGTTGGAGAAATACAATGTACATGTCTCTTGGTAAAGCCAAAAATGCATTTTACTTTTAGAGACCCCCTCCCTCACCCTCACCCCTTCCCTAACCCCCACCCCTCCCCAACCCCACCGCACCCCTCCCCCACCCCACCCAATCCAGACCAAGTATAACTGTTCTCACCTCCGGCGCTTACGATCCCGGCTGCGGCTTCGCCTCCTTGGACTACGGCTTCGAGAACGATAGCTGCGGCGCCTGTAAAGAGAATAATTGCACTGTACTACATGTACATCTAAGTTGTTTTTAATTGTCGGTACTGCTTTATTTGGATCTTGGAGTGGTACTCAGATTCTATGGCAAGTCAAATCACAAGTCAGGTCGGAAGTTCAAAGGAGGATGAGCAAGGACAGATTGAAGACATTCATTCCGTCTTCTCATTTGAATAGACTGTAACTTGACTTGAGACTGCAGTGAATTGTGACTGTCTTGTGTGGGTTCGACTGCAACACTGGGAATGTAACATGTGTAATGGGGATGGGTGTGAAACATTTGCAAAAAACTCTGACACTATACATTTCAAGCACGTTGGACAACAAACGGTGTTAACCCACCAAATACACATGCACACAGTCGTGCACACAAAGGTTTGTTTATGGTGTAAGTCGAGTATTTTCTATTGTTCCTCTTCCCTTTTCCTTTCTCTATACTCTTAACTTTTTGCAACAGCTCTCATTGGTTTTGTGCAGGTTTTCTAAAAGAGCTCGTTCTCGATTTGGTTCCAGTCCTCAATTCATTGATGATGTTGTAAACACGCACTACATAACTCTTGAGGACAAGGCATTGTCTTTCTCTTTGTCCCTGTAATATAACACTCTCCTATTTACTAAGCACACAAACGAGGACCATTTTCAAGAAAAGATGAACGAGAGAGGACAACAAAGAATCTGTCGTTCTCAGTTTCTCTGTCTGTCCTCAGGTGTATGTAAAGTACGTACATGTACATGCACACATCACCATATGTTCCTTGTTGGAGAGAAATCAGTAAATCCAAATAAAACATTCCAGGTGATGACAAACTGCCTGACCCAGGATGTCCCTGGTTTGAGACTTGAGAACTATAAATTGCTATAAAATTTCCCCCCAAATCTAGGGATTTTACCACAGGTGATATTGAATCTCCACAGTTACCGGAAGTCTTTAACAAAAATTTACCTGCGATCTCTGGACCGAGAACGTGACCGGTACCTGTTGAAAAGATTACATTACAAATCAGTTACACACTTGTGTTCAAAATTGAAACACACCCTTCTTTTCTGGGATCAGTAGTTGAAACTTTTGTCATCTTTTGTTGCCAATCTGATCACCAGTGGGAGCTGAAAATACAAACCTATCTTCTACATGTATGTAACAAATTGCAGAGAACCAACTACAGTCGACTCTTGTTAAAGCCCGAGTCCATCATTTGCAGCTATCCAAAAAAGTAACCGGCGTAATTATTGTTGAATAACATACTGGTTGAAAGATAGTAAGGGGACTAAACTCCCTGTGAAATTATCCTTTCTGGCAAGCTCTCATTTTAAAGAAATCAACGAAATAAGGCATTTCGAATGGTGCTTTATAAGAAGCACCGTAGAAAAATTTAAATTAGTTGTTCGTTTTGTTATTTGGCGCAGCCCGCACAAGCATTGGAACGACGCACAGGCGCACGCGGTTGCTACAGTATAAGTTGTTGGATCAGTGCGCAACATCGCGTAAAGCTGCAATTCAAAACAATTTGAAACATGATTTAGCAACTTTTGATTTTAAATTGAGATCCTAGAATGCTGTTTTTCTCGGAATATGAAGCTGAAGCTGAGCTAAAACTTCATCAAGTAAGTTGTTCAGTATCCTTCATTAGATTTTGAACACTTTTGTTGCTTCAAACGAACAAAATGCACTAATTACAAATGATGGACTGTAGCTTTAATACAAACTCGTTCGGACCTCTTCAAATTGTTTGTTATATGTGACCTGTTCTGTCAAAAGCAGAGGTTTCTGGGCAGAGGTTGAAATGAAGATAAGGCCAAAAAAAACGCTGTGGGGGCGATTTTTTTCGATTTTCAAATGTTTGCATATTTGTAATCCTGAACATGTCTAAAATATACTATAAACGTTGGAAACCTTAATTTGAGCTCTAAATATAGTATTTTTGATGATTTGTTAAGGCGTATCAGTTAAAGATATTACTGTTCTGTGACGTCCGTGGCGGACTGGCCATTTTCTCAGTTTTCTACTTTTCAACACAATAAACTTCAAAATAGCATAACACTGCCCAGGAATGACTGGTTTCAAAAGCTGAACCACCTATTAAAAGGAAAAAGAACATGTTTTAACAATATGCAAAAATCTCATTTTTGACCTTATGCCCAGAAGAGTCTGATTTTGACAGAACAGGTCACATATCAGAATTTTGTATTACGAGAACATCAGTACCATTCATCGTGCACATAAACATTTTACCTGCGATCTCTGGACCGAGAACGTGACCGGTACCTGTTGGAAAGATTAATACACACTTGTGTTCAAAAATTGAAACACACCCTTGTTTTCTGGGATCAGTAGTTGAAACTTTTGTCATCTTTTGTTGTCAATCTGACCACCAGTAGGAGCTGAAAATACAAACCATCTTGAACCAGCTACAGTCGACACTCGTTAATACAAACTCGTTCGGACCTAGCCAAATTGTTTGTTATATCAGAATTTTGTATAAAGAGGAACATCAGTCCCATTCATTGTGCACCTAAATGCACAGTTGGTACCAAGGCTTTATGTTTGCTTTAACCCTAACCCCCAACAGGTTTTCTCTAGGCACCCTGCCAAATGCAACAAAATACAACTTAGCTGAAACAAGAGCCATGCTAAATGCAACAAACTGCAACAGTAGATTCTGTTGCATTTTGCAGTGAACCCAGTGCATACCAACCTTGGCACCAAGCAATTAATTACCCTGCTTAAAATGCAACCAAATACAGCAGTGGATTCTGTTGTATCACCATGGACCTATGAGCATTTACCCTGCTAAATGCAACAAGATGCAACAAAGCACAGGGACTTGAGTTGCCTGCTAAATGCAACAGTATGCAACAACTTTTTAGCTCTGTTGCTTTCTGTTGCATTAAGCATGGTTAGGGTTAACCAAAATTTGTATTAACAATGTTTGCACTAACGAGAGTCGACTGTATAAGTGTTGTAAAACAACGCCTCTTCTACATGACTTGAATTTATGTAAGATCAATGTTTTGTCCACATTTGAACTGGATTCAGTTTGTCAGATTTGTAACAACACTTCAGAAGCAAGGTCTTTATATGTTGACCTCCTGAATTGCGAGGCCAATGATGACTTTGCGTACAAGAATACTTAATAATTGAATGGTTTTAGCATGCATAATGATTTCTTGTTGCTGAAATGCATTGTCAGTTCATCATTTAGACGAAGATTCACTTGTACCATGAAGAATGAGGACTGAGTCAACCATGGTATTTGTGATAGTGTCAAAACAGTTTTATATTGTAACCAATTTCTTGATTGGGATGATTGACTGCAATTCATGTTGTATTTATTCTCTCCTTTTACGGAGGTTTTGTTGGAAATAAATAATTAAAATAAGTTTAACATAAAAGAGCAGTACATTACAATTAAAGTGCACGTTTTAACTGTTTACAATGTCTGCAACTCTGCACTGTTTACAAAACAACCCAGGACGTTGCTGTTCATGTAAAGATAGATGATGATTTTAGAAATTAATTGTACAAATCTGAATTTTTTTTATCACCCTATCCTTTTTTATACTGCCATATTACAATGGTTTGATTGAAAAGTTGAATAAAAAAAAACACACACAAAGATGTGGAGCATGCTATCTGCAATACCAAACAAAGTTACATGTACATCTCCACACATTTATAAACATTTTTTTTTTCAATTTTGCATAATTGGTGGTGCTTGTTTACCTTGATCTGCTGCTATAGCTGCTCCCAAAACCGCCACCTGTACATAAAGAAAGGAAAAACAATAAGGCTTTATAATCAACAGGTGTCTAATGTCTATGGAGTGCAAATGTTACAAAATATCAGAAGCAAAGTTTTCAGAATTTTGTTTGATACAATGCATCAATGAATGCTTAAACTCAAGTCCTGTTTTGGAAAGATATAGTGTGTCTCTCTTCTAAAAGAAAATTGAAAAGGGGCAATTTCAGTATTGTGTAATGTCAGACACAGAGCTTTCAAGAGCTCAGTGAATCAACCTGAAAATGTATTTTTCAAATCTTATACATCCATCATCTAGTAATGGTCAAGGAGATTACAGACTAGGAGTTTTGGATCATTTCTCTGAATCATTAGTGAGATATATATCTCGGTTAATTCGGGCGATTCACGATGCAGTGCGCCACCAAGAGTTTGCCATGCAGAGTTCATTTTTCCCAGTGCATTGTGGGAGATGGTCGACAAATTCGCGGCGCGGGACATTGAAATTGTTTGGTTTTTTGGTTACTAGTTTCATAAGTGTATGATTCGAGTATCTGTTTGCCCTTTTATTTCTTTTTATCAATATAGTGTTTTTTGTAAGGCGACAGAATGCTATGCCCCAGTTTATCATGTCTATGACAAATAAGCCCAGTTGTCTACCGACACTCATTTAAATGGGCCATGTTTTGCCAATCGTAAACTTGAAAATGGATTCTCCGAGGCAAAATCTTGGTGGCGCACTGCATTGTGAATCGCCCGAATTGGCTCTGTCTTCACTTCCCTTCATATATGCTGGAATTGGCCATTAGGCCAAAAAAAAAAAGTCTCAAGTTTCTGGTATGCGCGCGCGTCGCCGTAGCCATGCGCGTCGGCAAAATGAAAAAGTTTTTTTTTCAATGAAAGATGATGTCTCAAAACCGCCAAACTCACTGGTTTGACTGGAATCCTGCTGCTGCACAATTTTAACGTGTTTTTAGAGTGGGTTATGGTCGAGAATAAGCTTTATGTGGCCTCTCTGGACTCCCATATATTTGCACTAAGTTTAGTCGGGCACCATTTGCAGTCATCAGCCGACATTTGAAGCAAAAAATCAGGTAAAAAAAAAAAAAAAGCCGCGTCGCCGCACCACTTTTTGGGCAGGCTCCATACCAAAAACTGGAGACTTTTTGATTTTGGCCTTATGTAGCATGTACATGTATATTGGTCAGAATACATTGTACTTGTGATTTTAATATGGATGGGATTTATTTTTTCCAAGATGCCAAGTAACTTACGGTAGCCTCTGCCTTCACTGCGGCAGTTACGAGCAAAGTGACCTATCCCACCACACTTGTAGCACTCATCATCACTCTGTAATGAATCAAATGCAAAAACAAATACAATCAATACAAGTCATCACATCTGATCCATCAATCACTTGCATGTATCAGTAAGGAGCCTGAAAAACGCCTGTGAAAAATGCTCTGAATTCACCTCATACTTGCCTGTACATCTAATAACACTTTTGATGTGACTGAACATGTCCTACTTGTGGCAAATTATCAATTCTACTAAGATATAACTCCACCTTTTCATGGCAATATATCTAGTGATTTGTAATGGCATTTATGAGAAGTGAAAAACGAGGAAATCAGCGGTTCCGAGGAAAAGTTGCATGCCTGTATAGGTGTGACTAAACACGTCCAACTTGTGGCAAATTATCATTTGTACTAAGATATAACTCCACCTTTTCATAGCAAAGTATCTAGTGATTCAGAACTGGGTCATTCTATAAATTTAGGGTCCAAAGTGTGACATTTTTCCTGTCCCTGTTACCTTGGTACTTTGTAATTTGCCATTCAAGTATCATTAAAAATGACTTCAAATGATGTTTTATTTATTGGGTAGGTAGTTTGCTGTTCATAAGCACTCTTGGAGGACGACTGCATTGAGGAGTGAATTAAAATCATAACTCATATATGTCAGATGTAACAGGGACGGGAACAAAAGTGGACCCCAAATTTATAGAAAGACCCAACTGTCATTCATTAACCCTAACCCCCTAGGCCCTTGTTGCTTACAACCATCCTCAATCCTCCAAAATCCTCCAAAATTTTGCAACTCCGCCTAAATTTTTCAAAATTGTCAGACAGTCCTGCCTCAAAATGCATTCATCCTCAATCCTCCAAAATCCTCCTCATCCCAAAACTTTGCACTCGTGTTTAAATGAAGGATAACCAACGCCAAATCCTTCAAAATCATCAGACAGTCCTGCCTCAAAATGCATTCATCCTCAATCCTCCAAAATCCTCTTGTGCTTCATTCACCATTCATCCTCAATCCTCCAAAATCCTCATGTGCTTTAATCACCATTCAACCTCAATCCTCCAGAATCCTCATTTGATTCAATCACCATTCATCCTCAATCCTCTAGAATCCTCCAAAACCGCCAGGAGGATTTTGGAGGAGTGAGGTGGGTTAGGGTTAATGAAATCATGAAGGTCTTTCCTCCACAAACCTAACTCTCCTCAATCTCCCAAAATCAGCCAGGCGGGTTTTTTTAGGGATTGAGGACGAATGTTAAAATAAGTGTTGGTTCATTTTGGAGGATGAATTGTGTCAAGGTCATACGCAGCACCCTGGGGTGCGTTTTGGCGGTCATAACCAAGAATTGGTTCTGTTGTTTCTCTTTGGCTAATGGTTTTGGGGGTTTGAGTATTGCATTACCGTGAGTAATTCTCGTCCATTTAAAATTCCCGCAGAAATTCACTGACAAGAAACAACCGAACCAATTCTTGGTTATGACCGCCAAAACGCACCCCTGCATTGTTTACGTTCAGCCACGCACAATTTCAGCCAACATTGTCGTGGATGTCATCCGCACTGCATCTGGATATCATCCACACTGCCTCAATGATTACAATGTACAGTGTTTGTTGGAGTATTTTGAAGGATTGAGGCTGTGGTCACCCCGCCACTGAACACATTCAGGAAGTGGAGTATGATTATGGAGGATTGAGGCTGAATCCAATCTCTACATGGTGGCAGTTGGAGGATTTTGAAGGATTCAGGCTGTGTTCACCCCTCCACTGAACACATTCAAGAAGTGGCGTATGATTATGGAGGATTGAGGCTGAATCCAATCTCTACATGGTGGCAGTCGGAGGAATTTGAAGGGATTGAGGATTGATGCTGGCAATTAACCCTAACATACCTGAATCAATCAAAATCCACAACCCTGGTTCGTGGGATTTTGGCGGATTCAGGATACCTCCATATTGAAAAAGTTGGGGGATTTTGAAAAATTCAAGAAATGAAGCCTAGTGGTACTGCAGGATTTTGATGGATTCAGGATACCGCCATATTGAGCAGCTGGGGGACTTTGATGGATTCAGGATCTCAACAGATGGGAGATCTACTCCCGGCTTACTGGTGGATTCTGATGGACTCACTGGCCACCAAAATGTCTTTGCATGGCAAAATTGATGGATTTTGGCAGATTCAGGATACTTTCTAGCAAAATATACCCAAGGATTAAGGGTTAAAAGGGCCTAGGCGATGAGGATATTAAGCAATTCACTTGTCGGAAAAAAAAAACCGGTCTAGTACTAAATCTGACTCACCACGCCTCGCTTGGGTCCCCGTGCCCACTCCACGACGATGCTCTGCCCGCAGATTTCCTGACGATCTTCAAACTTCTGGGCATCCTGGAATACATCGCAAGACATTCAAGTTTGTTGAGTAAAATATTAATTCAGTAAACGGTTGTTTTTTTAAGGAATTATCCGTTTGCTTTAACCAAATCAAGCCCACCAAATTTGTTGCATTTTGTTCAATTTATGGATTTCAAGAAACCTTCGACTGGTAATACATGCCTTGCCCATGAGAGAAAAAAACCCTGAAAACATCCAGTTGTAAACTGATAGGTTACGTCAAAATTTAAATTTCAAAACAAAATAGCTTTTTGTTCCTATTTTTCGGGAGGCTACTCTGTTTTGATACTGTTTTTACAAGAGATTACTCTTTTCCCCAGTGACATCGTGCAGAATCAAAACAAAACAAACAAGCCAAAGACACAAAGTTCCGTCAGTATTGAGAAGCCGTCGTGAAATTGGCTTACAATCATTCTAGCCAAGATGCATTCTAACAAACATTACTTTAAGAACAATTTGGATTTCAAGCTTGCAGAAAATTACTTGTGAGGTTTGACAAACTTGATGTCCTACATGTTTAGCGCCAGCAAAACTTGTAAAGCAGGCACTTTAGGCCTACATTTTTAAAGGACTCTATTTTCACAAATTTGCCATTTTGATTCAAATACCATTGATCATAAGGAGGTTGAAATTTCCAACTCTGTAAGAATGTCAATTAATGCTTTGAGTGTAAAAGGCATACAATTCTGCTTTTGACAAGTTTGATTAGAAGATACCTTGGCTATGTACACACTCTTTTCTTTGTATTTACGTACTCTACGTAAACCTAAACTAGAAGCCAGTCAGCAATGGTGTCAGGTCGACGCAAACACTTCACGGTTCAGTAGGTCTGACAAAGGCAAAAAACCCTGGTCATGTGCTCGGAAATTCTCCCTTGCACCAACGGTCTTGGGCCCCTTTTTTGGGATTGGTCTACGCAAAACGACTTTGGGTAGAGCGCCCTCTTGTGATGGCAGTGATTAACGGATGGCCGAGGCGGGTACTCGGTAGCGGGGACTCGGTAGCGGCTAGCCGGCCAGGCACCGATTGATTGGTCAAGTCGGCTTTATTGGTCGGGCCAGGAGGCACTTTGGGCTAGGTTCAGGTAGTGTGTGAGCGGCTTCGTCAACTCTTTGGCTTAAAGGTACGGTAGGGTTTATGGTAGACCCGTGTCTGGTCAACGGCCGTTCTTGCGGTAGTGACCGACAGACTTTAAGGTAGGCAAAGGAACTCTGGCTGGCTGCAATCATTGGGAAAAACAGATTATTTATCAATGCATAATAAGTAAAAAAAAAAATAAACTAGTGATGGATTTTTGTTTTTGGTGTCAGCGAGATGTAATTTCTTTTAATACAATTTGTAAATGTGGTTTTGCCCTTCACCAATAAAACTCTATGGACTTGTGCACACTGCACAAACAGTACTATTTGACTTCTTTTGAGAACGCCAACGCGTTCTAATTTACACCCTAGTCGTCTCCCTGAACTCTCTATTTGAAATCATCGTACACTCAAGCCCTTGCTCAGTTAGGACTCGAACCAGAGATTTCTAGTTATACTAGTGCACAGGAAGTTGTGGTTTCAAGTCCAAAACGTCTTTACAGCACCAAGTGCTACACAGAGCTTACAAAGTTATGTCGGTGAAAGGCAAAACCCAACACCAAGAAAATGGCACCTTTGGTATTTTGTTTCTCATTGATGACAACTTTTGTAAAATAGGCTTTAGTTTTTTAGATGGATCTTCCTAAATTTTACAAAAACGTACAATGTCGTGAATGTGGGGAAAACAGCAGGATTAGCGCATTATTATTATTATTATTATTATTGTTGGTCATGTTGGTTTATTCAAAAATAGAAGCTGTAGCCAAAGGCTAAATTGCGTCAACTTTTACAAAAGTGGGTGAAAGTCCCAAGTTGGTATGGAACAGAGAAAAATGTGTATACAGTAATTGGGTCATTTCATAAATTTGGGGTCCAAAAGTGTGACATTTAACGTTTTTCATGTCCCTTTTACACCTGACCTGTGTAATTTGCCATGCAAGTATCATTAAAACTGACTCCAACCTACTTTTTTTGGCAAGTATTTTGCTTTACATAATCACTTTTGGAGATAGAAGGCATTAGAATGTGCCCTGAATCTACAAAATCTTATATCAGATGTAACAGGGATACACACAAATTGTACCCCAAATTTATGGAATGACCCGATTTACTTAACCTTAAGTCCCTATGCAAGAATGGTACTCAAACTTTTTATTAAATGCAATTAAGACACTTTTTACTTTGCCTTTATTAGAAACAAGCATTGTCAAAAAGAAGTAAAATGAAATATTGAGGAAACAGAAAGCTCACCTCTGCGTCTCTTCGGTCTTCATAGTCAATAAAGGCATAGGCTAAACAAACAAAGAAACAAACAAACAGATGGTAAAGGCACAACAGGCTTAACCCAAACTCTCCACGCACTTTGATATGTACATGTATCTCATGAACATAATGTATTTCTGCTTGAAATTGTACAGGAGCTGCAAGTGTGTTTGGCAATATAAAGAGTAGCATCCTGGTCTGTCATAAAAAAAAATCACATATCTAAAATATGACAGAATTTAACTGTGTATCTTTTGGCTCTAGAAAAGTAAAGACCATTTTGTAATACAGTATGATACACGTATGTAGGTACTTGAAGGTATGAAGGCTTGGAAAGATTTCCATATGCGAAGTTCACTAATTTTCCTCTGTATTGACTAACAAGCCCCCAGATAGCAATTTCATGTCATCAAAGTCAATTTGAGCAGTAAGCATTTTCTTAGAAAACACTTAGAATGTTTCAGTCCAATCTCATAGGGTTTGTACACAGGGTGTTGAGTGAACTTCGTATATGGAAATCTTTCCGAAGGCTTTGTTTCAAAATTGTTGAATCCAATTCCTCATGAGAATACATAGGCCCTATCTGTTAATAAATATCTGTTTTCACCTATTTACTGATCAAATGGGAAATAACTGGCCCAAGTACCTGTATGATAAACAAAGGTACATGTATACAGTGTATATGTCGTTTTACAGCTTAACCCTTACCCTACTAGACCCTCCAACGCATGCCAATATGTGCCTCAAGAAAATCTCCTATGTTTTTTGCATGGCCCTCCAATATCTGCCATGTCATTTCAAGGGTAACTGGACAGGCACTCCAATACATGCCACAGAGAACAATGAGAGTCCTCTGATAACAAAGTGAGTGCCCCCAGCTGGTCAGTATCAGGCACCCTCCAGGGCCTCCAACTCCTGCCAATTGGAGCCTTCACTGTTAAGACAAACTATCTGCCAATAAACTGCAGCTGGAGGGCATTGGCATAACCAACTGACATGCAGTAAACTACCCTCAGAGAGTAAGGGTTAATTGTATCTTTCACATGGTAGATGTAATTAATTAGCCTACATTTTTGTATGTAAATCAGAATTAAAGTGAATGCTTAAATTTACAACTTACCCATTCCCGTTCCTGTAGAACATACATGTAATTTCGTCAGTCGCAGGTTAGTTTCATGCAAGAAAATGAAAGAAGATGAAAGTTCGAAAAACTGTTTCGCATCTTAATTAAGCCACTGTTAGGCCTACATCGGTAGGGACTGCCGATTAAAAAAAAAAAGATTTAAAAGCCACTATTTTTTTTTGTCAAGTGAGAGAAGATGTCAATCTGAATACATTTGAATTTTCGAAAAGAGATTACTGAAATATGACATTTAAAAAATTCTTCTCTTACACAGAAAAAAAAAGTGGCGCCAGGTTGCAACATTCTTTCTCTGACCTCTTTACTTCCTGAACTGTAATTTTTTTTTCAAACCTTACAGAAAGACCAATTGAAGTTGCCGTGGCAGAAAATTGTCCATTTTTTCAAACCTCCAAACTCTCCTGTCACAAAATGTTTGGCCCTTGTATTGAAATACAGGCATCATTTTGAAATGGCAAGGTACCTCTAGGGCAGGTTCAAATCTCTGAAATGTCAAACAAAAACGTGAAATTTACCAGAATTTCGCTCGCTATGATCACAGATAGTTTACTCTGCTGTCTGTCGTTGTTAGCTGTCAACTGAGGGTGCAGTGCTCTCGACCAAATCGCACATGCACACAGCGCCCTCAGTTGAAGCTGGCCGCGATGCGACCAGGCAATGCCAGAGGACCCGCCGTTGGGCACGGGCAAAGTATAGTTCCGATCCCGCTCCACACAACGCAGCAACACGGAATATGTGTGCACGCATTATTACTGTTACCGCGTGCCAGACGACATGTACAGTCCTTCATTTTTAAGGAGCGCGATCGCGCAGGCGCTCCTACTGCGCTCCTCGACTGTCTCGAAGGAGCGCCAAAAATAGCGCTCCTCAAAAATCCAAAAGAGGGCTCGTCAAACACGGGAAGTTTAAAAATAAGAAGTGATAAAAACGCAAGGGATTTTAAGTCTTAAGCTACACGTATTTTTCGTTGGTATAATGCCCAAACTCACGATAATATGCCGCTGGACATCGCTAAAAATGAACGAACACCGAGCTCGTACGTACTGTATAAGATCGTTTGTGTACAGCGGTTGTATACTGTGCGTGCACAATCTGTGTGTCGCATAGAGCTGCATGAAAACACGTGGGCCCGTACGTGCTAGTGCAGCAATGACTGGTTCCCGCTGTGCCGCGCACTAAGTCCCAATGAAGGCATGATGAAAATGCGGTAACCAGTCAACGTAATAGTCGCGCGCGGTGCATGCAATGCACTGCCTGCCGTACAGTGTTTTGCGTGCAGGCCGGACGGAATAGGCATCGTCAAAATGCCAAGAAAACAACGATTGAGAAGGACGATCTTTGCAAGCTTATTCACAAAACTTGATCTCTCTTGTCTGTGTATTTCCCGTGTTCATGAATTTATTTTGAGGAAGTTTTACTGGTATGTGAAGTGAAACGATGCAGCGTGTTTCACCGAAATCCTATACCGTGAAACGAGTTTCATTGCCGGCCCACCACACACAGTGTATCACAAACGCTCGTACTAGTGCGAAGTACAGACGTTGTTAGCCAGTTTCTCGTCGTGACTACATGTAGCATTGTGTATATGGCATACTTGACCTGCATTTTCCATTATGTTTAAGATTATCGACGGCAGATATTTTCGATAAAACTTAAGGCAAGTTTGTGTCATTTTGAGGCCCTTTTTGTATAGCTTTCGTAGAGCAATTGAAATAGTTCAGGCTGAAAATTTCATATAATTTTAACGAATCTGAAAGCAAATTTTCAGTTGCTTTATGTGCCGTTTAACTCTCCATTTTCCAAGTATAATCAAGTGATTAACCAACTGACAACTGTATTAAAAAATGAAAGCCTAAGCAGTAGTCAAACCTTTTATTAATCTCCATTTAGTTAGTTTTTTAAAATAAATTTTTCCTTGTCTTACAGTTACAAAAACGAAAAAAAGTAACGCAACTTGAGCATATGTTATTATGCAAAGACTAATAATAATGCAGCCCCTTATAAATCGTTATATTCAAAATAAAACAAAAACAATGGTAACCCGTCGTTTTACCGCTGTTTATCCGTAGATTTTAAGGAGAGCGATTTGCTCTCCTCAAATATTTGAGGAGAGCGATTTATAGCTCTCCTGGATTTTCTTTAAATGAAGGACTGCATGTACATGTACATTATGTAAGTCTGGCAATGGACCAATGCTATCCGTGTACAATAACATGCGGTAGTAGTATACTAGACTATCAGTCTGGTTGCCGCTACACAATGTTTCGCGACTATTGTCAAAAAATTCTCGTTTCGCCTCTATACCCGACTTTCAAAATGCTTTGCGGAAAGGTGCGGAAAGCTTTTAACCATTTCTTTTTGTACCACTTTTTTAACCCGAACTCCCTAGCATAATTTACTAGGAACTACATGTATACCCATTCTGGCAAATTCCAACACCCACATGGGAAATCGTACACACACACTGTTGGACTTAGTTTCTGGAGGTGTGCCTGCCCATCCACCCCGCATCCGCATTTCCACGCATCCAAGACATCCCGAGCCGTCTCACTCGGTACATATACTACATGTACGTACTTGTCAATAATTCACTATCTATAGCGCCCTCTATTGATCACAATTTACTTCATGCCCATTCACTCTTTATACCGCCCTCTATTATTTTATACATCTACATTCATACCGTACCCGTGTACCCATAGTAGTAGTCTCCTATACCAACGTTGCTTCGTAGTTCGTTCTCAAAAGAGTGCCATTCTACTCAACGACCCACTCCTCACATCGCATCCAACTACAAAAAAAAACTTTTCCGGCGTGGCCCTGCATTCTATAGTTACTCCAAAACCCTTACCATGCTTACAGCATGTGTCACGAATTTATGCATCAAAATGGGTCCCCCTCCTACTCCCGCTCAAAACCCCGCCCACACTCACAATCCAAGATGGCGGCATAAAAAGCACTACACAATACAAACACAACCGAAACGTTACACAGGCATTAAAGGAAATCTTACCGTGCTTACCGTATTTCAGTTCACATCTCTGCATCGGGCCGTACCTTCTGAAAACCTCCTCAACATCTCTCTGCCTTGTCTGCTTGCTCAACCTTCCAATGAAGAGTTGGGCAGACATTTTGGCCACCCTAAGTATTCAGAATTTTCGGTGAATGTTCTTTGTTTTTACTTGGAAGTTGGAGCGAATTTCCGAAACGTGTGCTCCGCCAAACCAACAAGCTGCAACGTGTATAACCTCGACACCAAACTATCTCAGACGCATGTGATTCATACGAATTAATGAGAATTGCCCTGTGTATAAGCTGGTCATCCAGTTAGTCAGTACCCCGACTTCTTTCAGTAGTTACTTTCCGTTATAAACGAGAGGATACTATGCCAAAAGGTTCCTGCTGAAGTTATTGTGGCGGAAATTTGCACACACAAAAAAAACACCCAAAATAAATGCTTTAAAAATAGCAGACATGTAAAGACAAGGTTTTACGAATCACTTTATTACAGAAAATAAAATAAATCTTTCGGTTTTAAAGGCATGAGAAATGAAAACAATGAATGAAAGCGGTTTGTGTCGACAATTTTATTTAGACCGAGTAGCTGATGACATGATACATCCGCACCCGTCCATCCGTCTAGTAAAACAATCATGATTCTAAAGGGATCTATTTAAACATTATGTTAACTAAGTGCATGTAGGTTATGATTTTGGGGGATGTTTCACATAAAATTAAATATTGATTTTTAAATCCATTCATGATATCTCTCAAAATCTCTGCAATAAAGAATAGCGTAATGAGCGAGAATTATCAGGAACTACATGTTACTAATTATACACCAGGAATATGACGTCATTTTATGGCTCATATGACACGTTGTATTCATCGACGTGTGTGTACGTGTGTACGTTTTGGAAGGAATTCTACGATATTTGAGTCTCGTGTACCGAAAAACTTGCTGAAATGAGTTGCGATTAATGGGATTGTTTGGTGTTTGAGGTTTCGTTTGGTTTAAGTGACTATTTATTATCACAGGGAAGCTACTAAGTGCACGCAGATTTTGTAAAATATGGGTGAGTATTTAGCTCTGTAGTCTGTAGCATGAATGCAGTGGCGTCTTCGTGGTTCGTGCGTAGTTCGTGCGTGGTTCGTGGTTAGGGTTGTGCTTGTCGCCGACGACGCCGCGCGCGCTGCATGCAACGGATTCCATGCAACATGCACATTTTTATGCAAACGTGTTCTTGTGAGTTGTGTGGTGGAATTTCTGTGACTGCCCCATAAATGTGGCCAATTTACTGGACTACGTCTGTAAATAATGGCCACACTTAACTTGTCAAGCTTTCATTTTAACCGACTAGGCCTAGACTTGTACTTTTTTGTAGACTAGTCTGTCAGTTGAACTTAGATAGTGGATATTTTGCCGGAGGTAATGACGGCAAACTAACGTTTACTAAAGGTTTGCCGGCGGCAATCCATATCAACAGAGGGCGCTGTACTCTTTAAGATAGGGCTGAATTATAAGATGTATTAAACTCCCACCAAAAGTTGTGTAGCACGTTTGGTGTAGTGGTTAAGTAAAAGCTCTAGTGAGCGGGATGACTCGGGTTCGATCCTGATCCCCGCCACATTTTTAAGTTTTTTTTTTCCCATCCCCAAATATATAAGAATATTCTTCTTTTATTATTTTAACATGTCTCAAACATTTTATTGCAGAGTATTACATTTTCTTTTTCAGATTTGTGGCTCTGGAGGATTTTTTTTTAAAGGGAAATAAAGTCCGAAATTATAAAATGGTGTGAATCCCATCTTATGAATACGAGGTTACAACGATAATATTGGCATGGAGCCAGACTAAAATTTGTCACCAGAAAATGTTTAAGTACAAAAAAACAGTAACTGCGCATGTTCAGTGCATATCCAGGAAAATTATGTTTACTAAAGGTTTGCCGTCTCCGGCAAAATATCCACTGCCTTTAACTTATCCTTTTAGAAGCACATTCGCCTTCTTCATGTCCTTTAAAGCGATAGAAAATGAGTTCTCCCTTTTTCAGGTGTCTATTTTTCGTGTAATTTTGTGCTGGAATTTAGATACGCTAACATGTGCAAACGAACCTGGAAATTACACGAAATAGGCCTATAGATGTCTGAAAAAGGGGGAACACATTTTCTATCACTTCTAAAGTGAGCTTCTAAAGCATAAATAAACTAGAACAAATATTAATAAAGTCTAATTTATTATGTGAAAATGGAAACTTGGCAAAGTTCTACATGTTCGGGTACATAGTGCAAGTGTGGCCTTTATTTACGGAGGCAGTCCAGTTAATTGGCCACATTTATGGGGCTAGTGAAGGACATGATAATTGATAGCATGGATGGATGGTAAGGATTCCGCCCCCCCCCCTAAGATCTCGGCCATCGAGTGACAAAAATTTTTGAAACTCAGCACATGCATAGAGCAACTCTTCCTTAACATGCCCAAGAAATTTCATGACTATAGGTCAAAGGGTTTTGGAATTATGGCTAATTAATTATTCATATGTATGAATGGCAATTCTGCTCTGTGTACACGACGTATATGCGAAAATTCAGTTTTCACGGCGCGTAGCGCCGGAAAATTGTTCGCTACGTGCCAACCCGTGGTCCGATTTTTATGTTTTTGGTATCAAAAGATGCGTAAAGCTCGAGGCTAAAAAGTCATAACAGCTCGGGTTGCGAAAAAATTTTTTTTAGAAGCTATCGCGGAAAATGTTGAGGGGGGGCGGATTCCGCCCCCCCCCCCCCCCCCCCGGCCCTTTTAGGGTTAAGGGATACTTGGTCAGAATTCCAACCAGGAAAAGTAATTCTGGTTAAAATAAGAGCATTTTGAAAACAACTTTTGACCCTCTCATGGTTTTGTACACGAGAACGAAAGCGATGTCTCAAGGATACAACTTTGAGTAGGCCTACATGTATGCTGAATGGTACATGTATCACAAAGGTGCAACCAATGAAAACTAGTGTGCAAAAGAAAAGATGTTTTCATTGGCTAATGTAATCCTGCCCAGATCTATTCTCCATGCAACAGGCAGCTTTCGACACGCCAATAACACTGCATTTCTCCTGCTCCATTGTTTTAACAGAGTGAGTGTTATTCTTATGTTTTGGTTCATTCTCCAGGGGGATTCTTCAGTAGAATATTTTCCGGTCTCTTCGGTTCCAAAGAGTTGAGAATTCTGATTCTTGGGCTGGACGGCGCCGGCAAAACTACGATACTCTACCGCCTTCATGTTGGGGAAGTTGTCACAACGATACCGAGTAAGTGAGACAACTTATGAAGAGGGTTTGATCCACCCACCCATGGCATAGACCCTTTCACACAGATACTGCCATCTTTGTGGTCACGTGGTGTTCTCAGGGGGCATTTTGGATTTATTTTCAAATTACCTCGTGACCACATAGATGGCAGTATCTAGTGAATCAGTCAATTGTTACCAATGGGAGTCAGGTTGGCGTAGCGGTACTTTCCTTGCCTTCCACCGCTGTGACCCGGGTTCAAATCCCACCTGGGCCAAAATGTGAATTGGGTTTTCAGTCCCTGCCTGATTCCGTGGGTTTTTCCCAGAATATTCTTCTGGGGTTTTTCTCCCACCTCTAAAACTGTTACTTCTTCTCATTGTCTTCTCTCCACAGGTTTCTTCAGGCTTGCGAGCTACAGTGCCTAGGGCGCTTTTGAGGAATCCTTGGTTTCATTACCAGAAATGATTAATAATAATAATAATAATAAAATATTCACAAGACCATTGCTTTAAATCCAGAGATGAAAGTGCTAGTCAAGTACTTTCCCTGACCAAACTAGTTTGGTGGTTTTGTGTTTTTTTCTACACTAATGATCATCATTACAGAGTTGTTAATTGAGCCAATCACAAGTCAATTCACAATCTGGTGAGAAGTCACAAGAGATGAACACAGGAATACCTGGGTCACAGTTCATTTCGATAGTTTGTAAGTTGACTAGGGACTTGATGACTTGTGATGACTTGTGATTGACTTGTGATGGCTTGTGATTGACTTGTGATGACTTGTGATTGACTTGTGATGACTTGTGATGACTTGTGATTGACTTGTGATGACTTGTGATTGACTTGTGATGACTTGTGATGACTTGTGATGACTTGTGATTGACTTGTGATGACTTGTGATTAGGCCTACTTGTGATTGGTTTGTGATTGACTTGTGATTGACTTGTGATAACTTGTGATTGACTTGTGAATAACTTGTGATGACTTGTGATGACTTGTGATGACTTGTGGTAACTCGTGATGACTTGTGGTAACTCGTGATGACTTGTGATTGACTTGTGATGACTTGTGATAACTTGTGATTGACTTGTTAATAACTTGTGATGACTTGTGATGACTTGTGATGACTTGTGATGGACTTGTGATGACTTTTGATTAGGTCTACTTGTGATTGACTTTTGATGACATGTGATTGACTTGTGATGACTCGTGATGACTTGTGATAATGTGTGATGACATGTGATTGACTTGTGATGCCTCTTGATGACTTGTGATGACTTGTGATTAACCTGTGATGACTTGTGATGACTTGTGATTGACTTGTGATTGACTTGTGATGACTTGTGATTGACTTGTGATGACTTTTGATTAGGCCTACTTGTGATTGGCTTGTGATTGGCTTGTGATTGACTTGTGATTGACTTGTGATAACTTGTGATTGACTTATGATGACTTGTGTGTTGTGATTGACTTGTGATAACGTGTGATGACTTGTGATGACTTATGATGACTTGTGATTGACTTGTGACTGGCTTGTGACTGGCTGGATTACAACTCTGCTTCATTAAAAATGTATACCTCATTTAAGTTCATGAACTTTTGTTTGTTTTGCAGCAATTGGATTCAATGTAGAAACAGTGAAATACGGCAATATCAAATTTCAAGTCTGGGACCTCGGTGGACAAACATCTATCAGGTAATATACAACTCAAGTGTGTTTTTTTTTACATTTCATTTCTAAAGTCCGAACTATTTTAAGACAAGGGTCTACCTTTGATGATGATGATGATGTCGTATGCTATGGCGCTCTCATTGTTTTGTCCGTAAGCCAGTGTCTCGCTGGGTTGTCAGCCAAGTGAAGAGCTGAGATGCCACCAGTAAGGCGAGATAGTGGGCAGTCATTAATCATACGGCCAACGTCTGGGGTTCGCCACAGTCACAGAGCGGAGATGAGATGTAACCCCACTTATATAGGCTGCTGCGGCATGGCCCTGCGTCAGTTCGGAACCGGTTCAGGAGACACCATTGACCACAGGGAAGGTCCATTCCCCGTAGCTGGATGGTGGGGTCGGTGACCAGGAACTTGTTCGGGACGTCGGTGTGGTCTCGCCATCGGATGCGCCATGTGTCCTCTGCAGTCACTGTGCTGTCCGGGACGTTGGACCATATTGGGTTTCTAGACTTGAGTCTAGGCCTTGGGGGAAGTCCAGGTCACTGAGGAGAGGGGGCTCAGGGTTGGATCTGATCTTGCGGACCAGCCTTGATGTAGCAACCTCTCTGTTGTGATATTAGATTGTGTTTGTTTCTGATAGATTTTGTTGGAATTTGTCAGAATATACAGTTTCCGATTTTCATGTTTTTATTTTTTTCCCCTTTTTTTCCCCTCACAGACCTTACTGGAGATGTTACTACTCAAATACAGACGCCATCATATATGTTGTCGATAGTTCCGACAAAGAAAGAATGGGTATCTCCAAATCTGAACTAGTCGCCATGTTGGAAGTAAGTAGTCTCTAGTCACCACAAGACCAAGTACATGTGTGTAAATTTATAAAAGAAAAAATAGTAAAAGAAAATAATTTTTGAATAAAAAATTCTGGTCCTCTCCCCCCTTTTTTTTTAATCATAACTTCTTTTCTTGGGAAAAACCTTCCAAAATCAACCAAAATCTAGAAGTTTTGGAGGATTTTGCAGACTTGAGAAATAAGGAACCTAGGGTTGTGCAAGAAGTCCTGATCATCCAATATCCTTGTTTGTCACTCCACATTTAAGTAGCTAACATGGTTAAAAAAAAAATTGTAAAGCTTGCAGTTGTTTTGGTTTTGGGTTATTTTCCAGTTGCATACCTCTGTTTTAAACATAGAGCTAAATTAACCCTAACCACCCCAACTCCATCAAAATCCATTTCCCCCATTTTTTGTGAATTTTGGGGGGGCTTGGTCCAGAAGGCCTGGCGTGACTAAATATTGATGGAGTATGACGGACTTGGGCCTAATGGCCTGAAGCAGTGCTAGGGGTATCCGATAGATTTTGCCTAGCTTCCTGTACTGCTTTTGCGACAAAAGCCATGTTTAGCACGTCCATGAATGTCAACCAGTGCGTCAGCGGTGGATTGCATTATGTCATGTACAGTTTTGTGTTGGACGCACAGCGATTGATGGATTTTGATGGAATTGGTCCAGTTCCTAGTAAAAGACACTAGGGAGTTAGGGTTAGATAACTAGAGCGCTAACTCCTCATTCTTGCGCGCAGAGACGCTTTGAAGCCGCTCTGGACGCAGACATTTTAAATTTATGTGCATGTTTGTAGAACACAGTCAAAATAGATGGATTGAATTTTAAAAGTGTACTCTAAATGCAACAAGTAGAAGATACGATGCGCGTCATGACGGTTCAAAAACTTCAAAGCGAAAAGCATCCACAGTGGAGGGACTCGCACACATTGCGCTGTTTGCTAAACGCTCATTTGCTGTTCGTGCGTTTGGGTTTTGGGCGTATCGGCTTCGATGAAGCACCGGTATGGAATACAAACGCAGATATGCAAATAGCTGTACAAAAGCCAAAGTTTCGAGTTTTCCATAGGTTTGTGCACAAACATGGATGCGCCCATCAGGCAGTACTTTGTGCATCAAGTTAGCGCATTTGTAATTTAATATAGCTCTATGATTTCAAATTGGTCATCGGTCCAAATAACTAAACAGCCAATGAGCTTATTCCGTCATCGCTCATGAGTATTCATGGTCTCCGTTTGACCTCACACAGGAGGAAGAACTGAAGAATGCCTTGCTGCTCGTCATGGCCAACAAACAGGACATGGAGGGCGCCCTCACGCACACGCAGGTAGCCCATGACCTCGGCCTTTCGGCACTCCGGCATCGCAAGTACCAAATTTTCAAAACATCCGCCCTAAAAGGGGAGGGGCTAGAGGAAGCAATGCAGTGGTAAGTTTCGAAGATGCTGTACCTTTCTTCCTCTTTTTTTCTAATAAAATAATGACAATAATAATAATGGGTTCTTGTATAGCACTTTTAACTAAGATCAAAGCGCTTAACATTATTATTAGCGCTGCTTATTGGGCCAATTAAACATTCCATATACCATCTCAGCTCCCTGGGGAGTATACAGCTCGATGCAGCCTGTTAGGCGCAAGGAAGCTAATTCAATCACAATAACCATCTCTGCCCTCACAGGTACCCATTTACTCCTGGGTGGAGAGAAGCAATGAGTGACAAATTGCCTTGCCCAAGGGCCCACGCACCATGACCCCAGGCTGGACTCGAACCCACGACCTGCAGCTTTACCCGCAGACCCCGAATTTAATACCCTTAACCCTTAACAGCACTCCAGTGTTGTACGAAAAAAATAGTCGGTGAAGGGCAAAACCTAATTTGATTTATATCACCCCGGCGCAAAAATTCCCTCTTATAATAGAAAAAAATAGTGTCGTACGAAAAAAAAATTGAGGAATAAATTCAAAAAGTTTGGTTGTGGTACCAGCTGCTACATTAGACTTGAACCGCCCCCAGCAAGCTCGTGGTCGAGTGATAAGACATAGGCACTAGCAAGAGGTTGTGAGTTTGAATGTCTATAAATATATCGGCGAGGGGCAAAATGCCAGTACATACAGTTGTGTATGTAGTCTTTCTCAGAGGCACCTTGATTATTTGAAAGCCTCGTTTCCAAATTAAACCTTCCTCAAAGACAGAATACTAGGGGTCACTGTATTATTAATTTTTATTATTAAAGTTGATGGCTTTGCGTCTCAAATTCAATTTTTTCCTTTCTTCCCCCTTTTTTTCTAGGCTTGTTAGCGAGCTCAAGACAGCGCAGTAGAAGTGGATATTCTCTTGATTCCCAACCAGTGAAAGTAATGGATTCTGTCTGATTCTGAGACGAGAGTTATGGACGGCACAAAAACTTTCAAAAGTGGTACGAACACTGAGACTTCCGATCTGCCATGTACGCAGAGACTTTGGTCCATAAAAGTTAGGCATGTAAATACAAATTTTTAAATTTCTTTTAAAAATTCTTCAAAATTGACATCCAGTTTTTGAAATATTTTGATAAATGAGAAGCTTACATTGGTTCTTGGGTCTTGATGTAGCTAGTTTAATGGGCCACTGGGCTCCTGCAAAAGGATTTTTTGTGGAAACAAGAATAATTCTAGCAAAATTAGAGAGTAAGGGACGATGAAAACCAGATTTTGTTTTTCTATACATAAACAAACACCGAATGGTCAGTATTTTGTAAGTGCATTCTGCTATTCTTCAATTGAGCACACACTCTTGTTTTACTATACTCCCAAGGACAATGCCTTGTGTTTCCCTTTGTACCTGTCATGTAAAACTCTCCCATAGACTAAGCACACCAACCTACTACAGAGGACTGTTTTGAAAAAAGACCCAACGCCTGAGGACTGAAAGGATCTGTTGTTCTCCCTTTGTGTGTCAGTCTTCAGGGGGTTATGTAGAACACGTACACAAGCTCTTGACCAGTGCTGCATTTTAAAGTTATGAGGTTTCAGGTTTGTTTTAATGTTGTTCAACTTAGTTCTTGGCTGCCACAAGTCATGTAATAGAAAACTTGAGGAATTTTCTAGAAGAGGTCATTCTTTGTAAATATTTTATTAAAAGGTACCTAGGATCATTTGCTGTTCTTGCTTTTTTTTTTTAATTAAGCAACGAAATTGCTCAACATCTTTATGTACCATTCGCTCTTTTCACGCTCCACCCAACCTCGTTCCCAGGGTGTCGAGCAGTACGCACCCATCACTACCTGCTCTCTCACCCTGGTATTGGATCATTTGCGTGTGCGAGATTTTTTAACACGTATGCAAATGAGGAACAGTCTGGTGCCTGCATATGCGTTACATTAGTGCTTGTTTTTGTATGAGGTGTCTGGGGTAAAAACAGTCAATTCGTCGCAGCGCGAGCATGGCGTGAGTTACGAAAACACAATTTATTTAATTAAACTGTTACGATCTTATCGAAACAACATGCAGTATCACATTTCATATTTATATGAACAAATTGGGAAAGGAAATCAGTATTTTCGAGAAGGCGTGGACGAATGATCGCGAAAACACGTACTGCACGTTTTGAATAACAACACCAAGTACACGATAAAAATCCATTTCTATCCAATTGCGGTATCGAATCAGGATACAGGAAGAAAGTTTCCTATCCAGGGCTTACTATTGGAAACGCGGTTGAAAATAAAGTAAGCACTGGGGACAAGGTTGTGCTCCACCATTGGGCATGCGCAGCCTCGGTATGGCAACATTTGACAATAAAAATAGCTGGTGCAGTGATCTGAACCCCGACACGGGAATCACATATTTATTGTGCAAAGCTGCCAGATCAAGGCTCTGCATGCCCATGGCGGAAGTGTGAAAAGGGCGGAAGTGTGAAAAGAGCGATTGTGTAGGAAGCATACATTTGTGTAACTAACGTACTGAAGTTTCAGCTATTTGGACATTATAAATTTCGAGAAAACAGAGAAAACATTCGCAAAGTTTTTGGGGTCTCCTACATGTAGCTGAATTCCATTGCTAATGCACGTAAAAAGAAAGTGTATTTGTACACCCTACGCAGACACCCTATTTTGAAAACGCCTACAATGTTAGTTTCATTTCAAATGATACCACTTCAGGCAGAATAGTTTCACAAAGCATTTAATACCAGTCCCAATTTGACTTTGAGCAAGGTTTCGGTCATTATTCTATACCCCTTTATGCACCTTAGTGGGCACGTATGGTCCAGCTGTGGAGCACAGGATTCATGATCGTGAGGTTGTGGGTTCGAGCCCCGCCGTGGCCATGCGTGTTGTGCCCCTGAGTAAGGCGCTTTACCTCAATTACTCCTCTAAACCCAGGTGTTAAATGGGTACCGGCATTATTCAATGCAGGGAAGGTAACAGACTCGCTGTGGAGGAGGTGTGGTGATCCCCCCCACAGCAGCATATGAGTCTGGCCCAATCGTTTTGAAAGAGAGATGGGCACTCCGTTCCTGTTAACACAGGTTCGTCCCCTTTACCTTTATGTACTTTCCAGATAATTGTATAAGATCCTACTTCACTTTAAACAATCAGTTGAAACCGTCGAACCGGGGGGGGGGGGGGTGGGGGGGGTTGAAGTTTCCAGACATGACCCAAGATTAAACAAAGACCACATCACATACTTTTTAAATACGTGTTTGTGATACTTTTATTGAAATCCAAATGAGAGCCTCCTGCCACAATGGACCGATCCAGTAAGCCCCTCCCACAGCGCACGTGGGCAAATTAACACGTGCTCCTCTCCAATGCCACACTGCATTTTCCTGCCGCGCGCATCATACGCGCGTGCACGCATGTCGGACTTTTGTGCACGCGTGTCGGACATAAATCACGGCTGTGATTGGTCAGAATACCATGGGGCGGTGCTTACTGGATCGGTCCATTGTGAAGTGAATAGTTGTGCCTACCAAGCACTGAAATAATTAGTTACGTAAAACAAAAAAATCACTTAAAATGTATTTATCGGGCAAGATAGTTAGGTTCGAACATTAACACGGGTATAAGTTACACCTTGGGTTTGTGGTGAAGCTGGATACACAAGCCACGACTTGAAAAATGGCCAGCTTGGTCAGTTGTAAACGGCCTTATTTATACAGACTACCAAATGAAATGTCTCGATAAAAGCTTGTTTTAAATTAGTAGCGACTTTTAATGTAACTGAAGCCAGTTTAATACACCCCTTGTCCCTCTTGCGGACTTGAAAAAAAAATAAACAGTTGGAGCCTTAATTGATTTGTATTATTAAAAACATTATTTCTTGAATTACAGTTAGGAGATTAAGAAAACAATCTATGGGAAAGAACGTTGCATCTCTTATTATCCCAATGAAGGTCGGTTAAAAAGATAAATATGGGACTGAGAAACATTTCCAATTTTGTTACAAAATACTTCGAATAATAAACTCTAATTTTCATAGATTGTATACACAAGCAAAGAAGTGGCGTATCTTTCCAATATCTGTTTACTGTATTCATTTGTTACATCTTGGGTATGATAGTCATGGAAAATCTGGGATTTTTTTAAATACATGTACATGTAATTTTTATAAGTAATTTATACTCTAAAAATGTAAGCTTGAATGGGTGGTTGTCAACCTATTTTATAAAGCATGTTTGTAGAAGTTGGTTTACTTCGGTACAGGATTGGGGAGGGGCTTAGTCTGCTCTGCCCCATGTTGATGACCAATAAAAAAAAAAGTAATTTGCATAATGTTTTTTTTTTTTGACGGAGGGTTTGTTTGTAGACGTCTTTAATAAAAAGTGAAGTGTGTACGCCGAAATGTCTGAGGTGCACGTGCAATTAAATCAAAGTGATTTTTACTTCGATGTACATGTGTGTATTTTAAAGTTGATGAAAAATAAAAAGGGTTCAAGAGTACGCTCAGATGTCAACAGAGGGCGCTGATTCACGGTACCCGGTACCGTTCCCGCTCGCGAATTTCTTTTCCGTAGGCGGATGCTTGCTCCAAAGTCATGAATAATTCCATAGTTCCGATCGGGTCAGTATGTTTATTCATGAACAGAACAACGATATCGAGAGCTTTGTTGTTATTTAGTCAACCAGTTACCTTTAAAGCATTATATTGAAAAATTGACTTGGGAAAAATTGGGGAAAAAAAAAAAAAAAATTGACTTAGAAAAAAAAAATCACTTGGAAATATCACATCGATGAGATTGTAAGTAAAGTTTCTAAGAGTATTGGAGTTATCAACAGACTAAAACATACTGTTCCCTTTGAGGTATTAAATACTCTCTATAGTTCATTAATACTTCCTTATTTTTCTTACTGTAACATTGTTTGGGGGAATACATTCCGTACTAATTTGGATAAACTAATAAAATTGCAGAAAAGAGTTGTTCGAATTATTACAAATTCACCATATAAGGCCCATATTCAACCTCTCTTGCGTGAACTAAAATATTTGAGCATAACAAACCTAAACAAATACCAACAAGCTATATTTATGTACAAGTTTAAAAACAATTTACTGCCCATTTCCTATTCAAACATGTTTGTACTAAACTGCAATTTGCATAACTATAATACTCGTGTGTCTACTAACTTACATTTCCACATACCGCAACATAGAACATCTGCCTTTCAATATAACATTAAATACACCGGACCTAAAATATGGAACAATGTACCATTGTCTCTCAGATGTTTAAGGTCTTATACTATTTTCAAACGCAAACTTAAATTGTACCTTATGTAATGTGATATATTTTATATGTTATATGCCTCTGCCATAATTGGACTCTGTATGCACGACGATCCTACTCGTAGCCCATTATAAATTATTAATATTATTTTTATAACTTTTTTACAACTTTGCTAACTGCTTAGAATTATACATGTGTGTGTAATTGGTCTTTATTTTAATTATTTTTTTTCTGTTATTATTCGTCTGTTTTGTGTAATGGCATGCCTGATACAAGCTATGCTTTTAAGGTTTTGCCACCTGTAGTGGCCTTTATATTTTGTTTAAGTACTTATATTACTTTTTTCATTTATGTCATGAAGATGAAATAAATGTGATTTGATTATAAAGCGGGACGTCGTCGACGGCTACAGTAGCCTAGTCTATGGCCCGCACCAGACACTATGGCCCACACTGAGCAGACACTTCATGCTGGGCCATACGAACATTGATTCCCAAAAGTGTGGATTTGAAGGGGAAAAAAAACAAACTTTATTTCAATCTTTTCAACTCATACTCGGAAGGTATAGGTTCACTTACCCGTACCTCTCAATATCCCCCCCCCCCCAAATGAGGACTTTCCCCGTACTTCCTTCTGGTAAAATTCGTGTCTTAGGGAAAAAAATTGTCAACCGAAGTGGTCATGACAGGCAGCTTGCCAAGTATAAGTAGTCTGGTTGCGGCCGTATCATAAGTCCGACGCCTCATAGGTCCGACGCCTCATAAAGTCCGACGCCTCATAAGTCCGACGTCGGGAAACGAGGCGTTTAATTTGTCGGACTTACGAAGCGTCGGAGCTATGAGGCGTCGGCATGGGCGTCGCCAGGATTTTTTCTAGAGGGGGAATTTCTTTTTTTTTTGCCAAAAAATGCTTGTATTTCTCAACACATTCTCGATTTATCAGTTTTAGAGGGGGGCAGGGACATTTTGCCCCCCCCCCAACTCCTTAAATTTACACCACTTTGTTTGAGCTAGGTTGAGTTTAATTAACAATTTCAGCACAAAAGGTTTGATGGTACCAATCGATTGCCCGTCGGGGGTAGTTCCGAAACGGCCATTCTTAAGTTGCCCTAGGTCGGATGGGGGTCAGGGGACCATGGTCAAGTGTCCAAAATTTCGAGTTTAATTAACATGTCGCGCACAAGCGCCGTTTTTGGACTTAAGTGTTGAGATTGACCCCCTGATACCAAAAATGTGACTTAAAAACGGAAAAAAGTCGGATAAAGTTACTTAAGAATGAGTTAAGGATTGTATCTATATATGTTTTTTTTATATATACTGTATACAAATGTAAACGTATATATCCTGGTCAATAGTGGAGCTCCTTAGGCCCATTATTTTTGTCCAAACCGTGCCCAAATTTGTGCTAAGAGCATGAAATATGGCGTGCAGATCCAAAACGGTCTGAAAATCATTTTAAGAGGTGGACACACCTTGAAACCTGCCGATTTGGGGGCGGAGCTTGATTTTTTTTAAAAGGGGGTGACAGGAATAAAAACTCAGAAGAAGTGTATTTATTCATTTACTTTCTTTTTCTATGCCTTGAATTAAATTTGGACATGACAGAAAACATTCTAGCATTTATTTCTAGCATCATATTTTCCGCCCAATTTGTGGGCAATCGATTGGTACCATCAAACCTTTTGTGCTCAAATTGTTAATTAAACTCAACCTAGCTCCCGGTCTATAGTACTAGACACACACAAAGCGTATCATAAATTGTTTGAAAACGACAGGAAACTCGTGTCATACTCCGTCGTGTCCGATGTAAACAATCGGGGTTTTTTTTTGGTCTTTTCTCGGGAACGGTAAGACATTAGGTTGGTTTCCTGTCAACCAAACGTTTAAAATATAATAAGTAAACAATCCAAAACATGAAATCGTCGGGCATTTCAGGACGCAGTGCCCCTTTAAGTCTCCGGGGTAGCCAAGTAGAAGTCAGAGCAAGACTATCAACACTTATAGTGAAATGATATACTGTAAATTCTAGAATGTTCAATGCGTCATAACCCCTCCTGTTGCCGTCTAAGATTCCAAGCCCACATAATGACTCCGTGCACACAAAAAAAACCTCAGCGGTTACAAAGGGAGAGGTGGAGAGACAACTGGGAGAAACATTGCGCAGACGCAATGGCTGTGTGAACATACAGAATAAGTCTTGGGTATTTCGCAGCCAAACGCGCGGGAATATGTGCGTACGCAGTGTGTCCCTCCTACGACCTACTGATCAAGGCTTCAGAAAGAGGTCACAATGCGCCCTCTACGAGGAGTCCGTTCTTACTACTCGGGGGTCGTTTACATGAAGCAATTACATTATATTCAAACTAGCTCGTGTAAATTTCAGCCACTGTGCTGTTTGCTGTTTCCCGATCAATCGCCGCTTTCAAGACAGAACTTGGTTGATTCGAGGTTGCTACCTTGACTTTATTTTTTTTTTACAATTTGAGCACCCCCATATATTCTCCCGTCTTCCCTATGTTCCTTTTTCCCCGCATTCATTCCCTCCCCCGTCTTTCCATTGTTCACTTTCCAATCTATATCCCTCTGGCATGTTGTCATGGTCACTGTTAATCTAGGTATTGTGTGCACCCCACATATTCTCCCGTCTTCCCTATGTTCCCTATCTCCTCGCCTTAATTCCCTCCCTCGTCTTTCCAATGTTCACTTTCCAATCCCTATCCCTTTTGTCATTTGGCATGTTCACTCGTTGTTAATCTAGGTATTTTATTTATCTAATAATTATGTACATTATAATAGTTTATATTGTGATGGAGTATTATATTTGTAAATTTTCATGTACAGGATCGGGGAAAAAAAGGCACCTAAAATAGCTAGCGCCCCCTATTTTGTAAAAAAGTTCTGAATGTAGCGTTTTCCAGAACTAGGATGTAAAAGCCCGGTTAATAAGCTTTCTTTTAGTACAAGAATCATTCAAGTCACTGTTGTACTTTTTGAATTATGGAATTTTGTCCACGGATCACATTTAATTAAGTTACGAGATAATTCAGTAAAATGAAACCATGTCGTACCATGAAAACGATATCAGAATAAGCCATAGCTCTATGGGTCGTATTCACAACAGGACTGAAGTCATAAAAAAGCAAGCACCCCACTTAAATATTCGACTTAGATTAGTCTTACAATTTAAGCAGTATTCACCAGTGTTGTAGTAGAGACCGGATAGTCCGAGACCGAGACCAGCCCCTTCAAGGCGGATCGAGACCGAGACCGATAAGGTCACGTCCGAGACCGAGACCGAGACTGAGACCGCGGATAATAAATAACAATAATCTAAATAAAAAAAGACACATAATTACAGCTGAACAGTCTGTCCTTGAGATGATGATGATGATGGGGATGTGAAGGAAGTAATATAAAACTATAGGAATCACTTGTACCTTCTTGTGTCATGGGAGTGCTCTTCATGTTTACAACATTGCAACATTTTGGTGTCACAATCAATTAAAAAAAAAAATTGGAAACAACTTAGTGCCACTTTTTAAAAATATTTTTGTTTTAAATATATTTTAACTACTATAAAGTGTAAATCTGATGAAGAAACTCTAACTTAGGAGTAAGAAAAATTTTACTCATATTTTGCAATGTTGAAACTTGCCAAAGTAAAAAGTTAAAGGTGGACGTTTCATCTATAAGGAACTCGGACCCTTGTCACAAGTGACTGTATATATTTTCCTTAGTTTCATTTATTCATTGAACTGATTTATTTGGTTGAGTGGTTTTGAGTGTTTGTATGTGTGTGTGTGTGGATTCAGTGATAGGTTGTAAGTTCCAGTGATGAATATTCAGTATTGTTGAGTAAGCCATTCAAAGTATGTGGGTGTGCCAAGGAAAGTGCTTTGTTACCCGTGTGTGCCATAGTTAGCAGTATGAGCGATTAGTAGAGTATGAACATTTGCCAAATGCCTTCCAAAATTCCTTGCATGGGAGCGGCTTGGGGTTTTGCCTATGCTAAGCTGCTGCAGGCACTTGCTCGCCAGACACACGAGAGAGAGGACCTATTTTGTCCTGAAATTAGAATCATACAGCTTGTCTGATGTTATTGCCAGCTTTAGCCTGAACAGCCAACAATCACAGTTCTATACTGACAGTCTGTGGTATGCATATAAAGCTGACATTGTATGCAACTCCGAGAGAGTTTCGAAGATGCTAACTGTAAGTTTAAATTATTTTCTTTGCCCACTTTATTTCTTGTATTAATTAGAAGTGAAATTGATTTAATTGTAAAATCTGAGATTGAATTCTTTACTTGCTAAAAATGGTGCGGAATCTTAGTGGGATTTTGGCTTGTAAAATGTCTAATCTCAGATGGCACAAAGAATGGGGAGATGTTTCTACCGAGTAGAGTGAGCCTCGCACTACCCTGAGGAACTGAAGCTCTTGTCAAGGACCCCTACCTCTACCGGACCCCTTGGACCGGAATCTGAGTGATGCTGCATAGACAGTTGGCAGGCTGACAAGGACCTGGCGGCAGTCACCTTTATGATTGTATAAAATAACTGGCGAAATACCATTAACTTGATTTGGATTTTGAATGTGAGAGTGTAAATATTTTTAAATCAACAAGATTGAAAGAAGGATTAATAATTATTCAATTTTCCCGAAGATAAAATTTGATGTGGTATTGGTAATCTAAATGACTTGAGATTAATACAGAAAGAAAAGAAGGTTGACCTAAAATTGAAGAAGTGTTTGAACTAAAATTGAAGAAGTGTTTGAACCAAAATTGAAGAAGTGTTTTAACCAAAATTGAAGAAGTGTTTGAACCAAAATTGAAGAAGTGTTTGAACCAAAATTGGAAGAAGTGTTTGAACACAAATTAAAGAAGTGTTATTGAAAGAGTAAATTGTGATAGAAACAGAAAGGTTTCAATTTAAACAGAAGAGAAAATTGATAAACTTGAAGTGAATTACGATTTGTGAATTTTGAGGTCAAATTGAAGATACGGTGATTAATAAGCGAATCTAAGAAACGAATTGAGAAGTTTTGAGATTGAACAAAGATTTTGTGATTGAAGTTTAAGAAGTGAAAGTGTGAAAACACGGATAAATTGTTGATTTGAAGTTGTGAACTGTTACAAGTTGAGAATTAAGGTTATTAGAATTAATTGTGGTGATAAAACAATTAGTGTCAAACAAGGAGTGTTTGAGTTAAAGATTCACGAAATTTGAAGGAAAGTGCAGAAATTGAAAATTGGAGAATAATTAAGAGGTGAAGATTTGAGAATTGAAAATTTGAAGAATTGATAGATTTAATAGAATTGAGTGATAAATTTGACTTAAGTGATCAACCTAGATTGGACTTTGCCATTTTGTGGAATTGAATAATTGAATTACGGGTACAACTCATCTAGATATCGTGAGCTATTTTATTGATTAGATTTCTGAATGCATTGATTACTGAATTTTAGAAGCTCAAATAATTTTAGTGCAGCTCATGTAAAATCCTCTTTCTAATTGTGATGTCCCTTTTATAACTTTGAAATTGTAAATTTGGAGACGAATACTTGAGATTTTAAATTTTGTCTGGGCCCAAATTTCAGTTCGATCAGTTGAGTGTAATTTCTTATCATAGTTTTGGGAATTGTTAAATTTTGATAGTGAATAAGAGACAGTTTAAGTGAATACGTTTAAGAACCCAAGATTGAGTTGACCTTGTTTTTATTTGTCTGTGTCCCCATGTACTTAGCGTGTTCAGCTCCCTCTAAAATTATGTCCGTAGAAAACCTCTAAGAGGTAGTGTGACAACCCTAAACTCCACAGCCACCCCTTGGTTTCAGCTATGACTATTAACGGATATTTAAAGAGGTTGTGGAATGCTCGAAGACATTTCCGTCACTTTTCGGGTATATGTAGCCTAAGGTGTGATGAAATAAAAACGACTATTGTACTTTTGAGAGCTGTTTTTCAGGTCCTGTTTCGACCAAGCGTGCAATTTGTGTAAAAGTCGTCGTTGGGGGCAGCAAACAAAACATAGTAAATCGTGACGTAATAAACAGGACTTCCGATGCAGCGGAGGCCAAGTTCGGGCAAGGACCCTTAGTCGACTATATAGTGGTTGATTTGTGACGTACCTTACGCCTGCGCACTGATAGCAACGTGTACGGTGGCCCACAACTGTCACGGCAAGCGCAAAAGCGTCGCGGCAAGCGCAAAAGCGCCGCGGCAAGCGCAAAAGCGCCGCGGCAAGCGCAACAGCGCCGCGGCAAGCGCAACAGCGCCGCGGCAAACGCAAAAGCACCGCGGCAAAACAAAAAGCGCCGCGGCAAAACAAAAAGCGCCGCGGCAAAACAAAAAGCGCCACGGCAAAACAAAAAGCGCCACGGCAAAACAAAAAGCGCCGCGGCAAGCGCAAAAGCGCCACGGCAAGCGCAAAAGCGCCACGGCGAAAGCAAAAGCGCCACGGCGAAAGCAAAAGCGCCACGGGTTTATTGGGAAGGGGCGTAATCATACATGCCGCTACTACATCAAAAAATAAAATGGGAAGGAGAATGGCCGCCACCAGGAATTCTTATTAAGCACAGAATTTAATTCTTTGAGAAGTGATTTTATGGCTGAGAAAATAGCAAGGCCAAGGAAAACCGGTCAGTGCAAGCAACGTTCAGGAAATAAATCGTCGATATTAATTTGTTGTAGGATAATTCCAAGATTATTCCAAGAGGGTTGCTGCCGTGAATCAGAGTTTATAAAGGAGTGGGACTCACTATCAGCACCATCAGGGCCGTTCCTCATTTCTTTACATTTCGTGGGATGCAAAACAATTACGAGGACGGGAGGCTCTGTGAGCTGATGCATTTTTTTGAAGAGTTTTTTTTTCCTTCCGACTAGCATGCAGAGAAGAGTTCCGTTAATTTGAGCCTTAGTTCACCGGTGTGTATACCAGTGTAGGCACACAAGTGAGCTGCCCAGAGTGTATGAGTTAATTTTTTTTTTCTGTTTCAGTATATCATACACATCTAGGAAGTCAATTAAGGCTCTCCTGCAGGGCTGCGGTAGTGGGTGGGTAAGGCTTGTCAACACGTAACTCGCCCGCGGGCCCATTAGGTTAGAAATTCCCAGAGAGCGGGAATTTCAAAACTCTTCCCTGAACGTTGCTTGCACTGACCGATTTTCCTTGGCCTTGCTATTTTCTCAGCCATAAAATCACTTCTCAAAGAATTACATTCTGTGATTAATAAGAATTCCTGGTGGCGGCCATTCTCCTTCCCATTTTATTTTTTGATGTATAGTAGCAGCATGTATGATTAAGCCCCTTCCCAATAAACCCGTAGCGCTTTTGCTTTCGCCGTGGCGCTTTTGCGCTTGCCGTGGCGCTTTTGCGCTTGCCGTGGCGCTTTTTCTTTTGCCGCGGCGCTTTTTCTTTTGCCGCGGCGCTTTTTCTTTTGCCGCGGCGCTTTTTCTTTTGCCGTGGCGCTTTTGCTTTTGCCGCGGCGCTTTTGCTTTTGCCGCGGCGCTTTTGCGCTTGCCGCGGCGCTGTTGCGCTTGCCGCGGCGCTTTTGCGCTTGCCGCGGCGCTTTTGCGCTTGCCGTGGCGCTTTTGCTTTTGCCGTGACAGTTGTGGGCCACCGTAAACGTGCGAACGTCTCTCGTCAAACGCTGGTCAAAACGTCATCGCAAAACTTCTGGATCCTGGCTCTCTGCTAGCGTTATGAATGCGCGCGGCTATTGGTTACCAGCGAAGCAACCAGCCCCAGTAGGCTGGTTCTAAATAGTCGACTAGCGTAGTCAACCACCGTCGACTAGACAGAGTTCGGGCAAACATTAGTTAACCATTGGTCAACTATAGTCCTTGCACGAACTTAGCCGTAGTATAAACGAGTCCTGTTTATTACGTCACGATTTACTAAGCTTTGTTTGCTACCCCCAACGACGACTTTTGGGCCTGAATTCAGCGTCCGGAACCGAGACACGTTCTTACCACTGATCTCTATATAAAGACTGGATAGCGGCAGCCTCGACTAATACTCCAGGGGCGCATGCTCGTTCCTTACACTAACCCCTGGCTGTGATGATGACGTAAATGACGCTGAATGGCTATTCACAGCGTACTGCGCGGGCATTTCGATTTGAGGGGGTGCGTAAAATCTTGCTTCGTGTCATGCGTGCGTGACCTCGGGACAAGAAACTGAGGTCAAACGGGGCTTTGTGGGTGACACGGCCACTGACTGGTTGACCTTAAGTTTTTAACCTCATCGATTTAGATATCAAATTGGCCTATGCAGACCTCGTACGTGTATGAGCAGTTAATATTTATTTTTAGCAATATGAGAACCAAACACTCACCATCCATTCAATTCAATTTGACTTCATTATCCCTGGTGGTAAAATTTCCGTTCTGCCTTTTACGTTGAACAAGTTAATGAATACGTTCACAATTAAGAATAAATATCACACATAAATACAATAATTTACTGAAAATGAAAGATATATAAACACATGTATGCTATTTAAATTAAATAAAGATAAAATACTGTAAAATACCTTAAAAATGTGTTTAAAATTACATATGAGTACAATTAGAAACCATGATGGTCTCTTTAATAATATTTAGGGACTAACAATGTGAGGACCCGGAATTCACAGCGTGATAATGACCGGGGTTGGGGATGGCCGCTGTTACTGGACCTTCGGCTTGGTCCATTACAATGTAACAGCTGCCATCCCCCAACCCGGTCATTATATCACACTCTTAATATTCCCATTTGGTCATTATCACGCAGTAAAGACCGAGTCCGCACAATGTTATTGACAGGCAGCTAATGGTTGTGTTCTATTGTGTACATTTCCACTGGTACTGAATTATAAATCCTAATGGTAGCATTTTTACGCTGGGCCTACATTAGGGGAGGGGGGGGGGCGACGTTTGACACCTCGTAACAACACTTTAGATGGGGAGAGGAGTACCGCATTTGATGCTAGCATCTTCTTATGTGGTGATGTGGAATGGGGTTGCCGAGTACGAGTAATAAGGTTGCCGAGTACGAGTACGAGTACTTGAGTACTTCCGAGTAAAAGTACAGGTCTCTGAGTACGAGTATTACAATTCCGTTTACGATCGAGTACGAGTACTTGTACTTACTTCCGAGTATGAGTGCGGGTATGAGTACTTGTATATATTGACGATATTATGTCGTGATTTTTGTCACGAACAAATTCCAATTGGGCACAAAAGTGCCACAAATTCTTCACAGGTCGACATTTTTTGACTAGCGAACATGGACGGTACAACGTGCAACGTGCAGATTAGTGGTATAACGTACGTATACTACGCATATAGTGCTTCCTGACGTGACGTGACAATCCCAGGCCTGTATCAATGTATGTGGGCCTGACGCCGGAACCAGACTATGGGAGCCGTTTTCCAAACCCCGGCTTCGACTGTGTCTCTTTTTCCAATCATGCAGATTGACAACGTGGCTGGATCCGGATAGGGAGCCGAATCTTGGGTTCGGAAAACGGCCTTGCTCCAATCAACCAAGTTAATCGACCGACCATTTTGAGGGAACACCTCAGCGTTTTATGTACATGGTTGGCCATTGTGCCCACATACGGCAAAAGGGTCATTGTGCGTAAATGGCCCAGCCCCAATAGCACAGACCCATTCGCGGCTAGCTGTTACATGTAATATTGTATTTGTCGGGACGTGAGCAGAGGCAAGTCAGGGAACTGAAAGTATCGATGCAATTATAAGGCCGTGGTAAATCAAGCTTTACCCTTTGTCTCCGAGCACTGCTATTCGAGTATACGAGTACCTGGATGATCGAGCACAATTTCGACATGTCGAATACGAGTATTTTGCTGCCCGAGTACGTGTACCGTCATTTCGAGTACGAGTACTTTGACATTCGAGTATGAGCACAATTTCTCTAAAATAAGGTATACTCTGTATTCGAGTGCGAGTACCGATTACAAGTACCGATTACCAGCACTACAACACTGCCCCACCCCTATATCGTCGGGGTTAGAACTTAAGAACACCTGTTGTAAATAATCCAATGACTAACGTCAGCCCAACCGCCTAAGCCGATGAATCTTGGCGTGTCAGCCGGCGGTGTAGGGTCGGTCCACTCAAGATAAGCCGCCCTCTCGTGTTTGCCTAGGGCGAAGGTGCCGTGGTCGTACCGCAGCCAGAACCGACGCATCTCATCTCCGCTGACCACGCCGTCTGCTTCTGCGGGGATTCCGATCAAATCACCCTTGTCCCACTTTCTGCGAATGACCGTTAGTGTGTTGCCATACTTTCCTAGAACTGTGGAGAATGATTATTGTTGTTGGTTTGAGACATTTGAATTTTACACCTTCAACGGCGCACGGTATGCACGGCACCCAATGATGGTTTGAAGGATATTTCTTTGTCCCCCCTCCCCCTCCCCCTGGTGACCGCGAACAAGAAACTCTGTCCGGGGGAAAGCTTTACCTAGGTTTATCTTCCCCGTTAGGTAATTATATCCCCTTACCCAACGGAAAGTTTGTCCCCTGGTAAATTTGTCCTTGTGGAGCCCAGTGCACACTTTTCCGATTTAAACAGTTGTATCATCGGATCATCGGGGTCATCGCACAGTACACTCTAAAAACTCCTGGATCAAAATTTTGACCATTTCTGTAGGTCAGATTTTATTGACCCATTTTGTGTCATTATGACCCTACAAATGGTCATTCACTGTGAAAATAGCTGACAATTTACAGGTCAGAAATAGTTCACTCCATTATGGATCATTTTTAACCCTGACGTCTTGGTCATAATTTACCATAACCCGTTTTGTGTCAAATTGACCGTTACAATGGTCATTTACTAAGATTTGATTTTGATAATTTCCGGGTCAAATATTGCCAACCCATTTACATGTCATTTTAACCCATCCGTGTCATTATTGCCAACTCGTTTATATGTCATTTTAACCCATATCCGGGTCACATATTGCCAACCCATTTATATGTCATTTTGACCCATCCGGGTCATCATTGCCAACTCGTTTATATGTCATTTTAACCCATATCCGGGTCACATTTTTCCCAACCCATTTATATGTCAATTTGACCCATCCGGGTCATTATTGCCAACTCGTTTATATGTCATTTAAACCCATGTCCGGGTCACATTTTTCTCAACCCATTTATATGTCAATTTGACCCATCCGGGTCATTATAGTTGCCAACCCATTTTTATGTCATTTTAGCCGTGCCGGCGCGGGTGATTGCCATCTATCCTCTGTACAAATGAGCCATACCTCTGGGTCATAATTTTGTGTTACCCATTTTCGGTTAGTTTTGCGACCCATTGTTTAGTGGGTCTAAGGGGATCATTATGAATTAGTATTGTACTGTTGTAGGTGAGCGAAAAAAAGCGCAGTTTGTAGGTATTCACTTGTTTTGTGGGTTTTTTTTTGGTTCTGCCTCGGTGCATTGTCAAGTGTGGTGTCATCCCACGAGAAGAATCCGTGGGATGTTTGACTTTTTAAAAAAAATATGACAATTTTGGGGGTTGAAAATACTTGCAGAAAAATGTCTTTGGCTTGACGCCAACTTTTTTGGCGCCCCTCTTTTTGATTTGCCAAGAATTTATGCAAATAAGGAGTCTCAACTACTTTCAACCAATGAAAGCTTCGCGCTGCAGCTGCCGCTGCCGTGCGCGCGGTATATAGCATGCAGGAGGGCGCGATAGATCGATATCAGCAGTGCGTGCATATAGCATGCAACATACAGAGGCCATCATGTCCGTCCGGCTTCAATCCAAGTAGGCCTACTACAACTTCGTCACGGAAAATAAAGTGAATTGGGTCAATCTAGTTCGTTTAAAGGTACAGGTACAGGTAAGAATGTTGTGAACGTAATTTAATTGATTGAAAAGGCTGGCCTCATATAGGCCTGCCGGGGAGTAAAGTAGGCCTATAGTTTACTTATCATGCTGGTCAGCAGGCCTCAGCCATCGTTCCAGCCCGATAGGTAGGCAATGCCTACTTTAAATTTAGTTTCATCAAAACTTAAACTGTTGCAATGTTGTAGATTTGTATCTACGATTAACCTTTTAAAACATTTGTCAAAGCTGTCATATATGGGCATTGATTACAGGAGGGAGAGAGTAGCCTTTTCATATTTCATCGACTCCTTTTTTCATGTAGCATGCCTTTTTGGAGGATTTTTCATTGGTAAATCGTTTTGTAGCCTTCGGAAAACGAAAAAATTACACCATTCATTCCTTAGCCAAATTCACAAAACCACACATCAAAATGCATGTGCCAATGGGCAGTTTGTAATAGTTAAGATGATGCATGACCTGCATGATGATCATCTTTCCAAACCCGAAACAAATCTCGTGAGATATCGGCCTAAAAACGCAACTACGTCACATGACTCAGACCAAGATGGCCGCGCCCTGTGTTACTGACTGCTGAGTGCCGAGTGTTGGCTCTGATGATTGTATTCGTAGGCCCCTATGTCGTTTTCATTACACTGCAGTACAGTCCAGGCATGAGAATAATCCTGTTTCAAATAGGAATTCATGTTTGTTTGTTGCCCAAATTTCCGCCATTTTCCCACGTTTTGTTTTGTTTTGAGCTAGGCCTAATCATGATCTAGATCTGACCGAGTGGTCATGGTGGTGGCGTCCAGCATGCATCATATCATGTACATAATTGCGTGTGCATGGCGTGTATTCTTTTGGTAGTCCTTTGGCATTGTAGCCTTTAGTTTAGGGAAAGGGAGGTACCGTAGTCCAGTAAATTTGCCACATTTATGGGGCTAAGGATATTAAGTGCGTGGAGTTAGGCCTATCATTTTTTTTATCTTGCCCAGGTTCAAGATTCAAGAAGACATTTAGGCCAATTAAAAAAAAACATGTTAAGTGACGGACTTTAGTGTCCTGCCTTTTTGAAAAAAAAAGGAAGCTCGAGGCCCGGGCTATTTTTCAAGAGGGCTGCCAGTTGTTGTTTTTGTTAAATGGCCGCAATTGGACTCAGGAAATTATATGGGCTAGATGCAACAGACAAAGAGGCTAAAATGATGTCACTGTTTAAAATTTATCAAATTTGTTTGTGTTTAAAATAAAATAATAGTAAAAAGGAGGCGGCCTCCAAAAAGGAAGCAGGCGGGGACGCTTAACGTGTTTTTTTTGTTATCTGGCCTTATTCCATTCTCCTTTTGCAAAACACATTGAACATTGTAATAAACAAAAATAATGTACGCTTGGAACAAATTTTATGCAATAAGAATTATTTACAAGAGAAAAGAAAGAACATGAGGCTGAATCCCGGTTTTCTTCAGAATGGCACCATGCCAGATGAAACATCTTCACAGTGTGTTTGCACAGGAAGTGTGAACTACAGTCTACACCTTGTTTATGTTAAAATATTTACAGTGGTTTCCTTTTCTTTCAGAACAAACAACCTCAAAAAAACCAAAGCTTTGATTCTGAAATTCTGTCTAATTTAGTTTTCATATTTTTGGTTTGTATTTATAAAGTCAACTCCTATATGTTTGCTGTTTTTACTTTGAAATTACAGAGAATGCAGTCGACGAGGAAATTTTGTCCTTCATGACACATGCAAGGACTCCCTGAAAAAAACTCATCCCTCGGTCAGACATCGCACGAAGTTCCTCACAGAACTTAACCCCGCGCAGCGTTTACAAGAAATGTGTATCAGGAGGCGCCACCTGCGTACCCTTGGGACGCAGGTACTTCCCCCGCTACGCAAGACCCTATCCATGTCAAAAGGACACAAAAACATGTGCCAGACCCTCTCCAGGCAGTTGCCAGACAGGGCACTTAAAAGATAATTGACTGGCGGCTGTGGTTTGCGGCTATGAAGGGAGATGGCTGTGTCAAGTTACAGGTGTTTGTATATGTTTCAATGAGACTTGGCAGGAGGCCTGGTCCCAAGGTTGTTGACACGGCTTGAGTGTAGCCCTGGCTGCAAAGTTCATTGAACCAGCTGATTTGGCATAGGTTGAATGAGGATTGATGGAAGGTGACCGTCATTGGCCCTCAATTTGTTTTTTGTTTTTTCAAAAAATTCGGTCACCTGCGTACCCACGGTACGGAGGTCACTCTGCGCAGGGTTTTAAGAAGGACTTAAAGATGGACTTCAGGTAACTACGGAGCATGTACACGTAGGTCTATAATTACATTGAATTTTACCATAGACCGTGGGTTCACTACCAGTACTCAGTATTATGGTCATGATATACGGAACATTCCGGACTTATGTGTGTATGCACAAAAAAACATTTTATGCAGCACCACCAATTGGTTTTAACATTGTTCTAGCAAAGTGGACAATACATAACCCTGGAAACAGTTGGTCACTTCCCTATACAAAATGTTTCCAGGGTCTGTTTCTTTATTCTTTTTTTTTCCTTGTTAGACAGAATACTCTGTCGAAATAAAACTATAAATAAATATATTAATAAATAAAACATTCACCGTGCCTACATATTGAAAAATTGATGCAAGGTTCTTTTGCATTATTCTATCCCGTTGAACATTAAGTCAGTGAGCAGATGTTTGTCTGCACTTCCAATGATGCAATGTTTATTTGACCATCCTCTCTGAACTTATAAAATGGAAAATTATTCTAATTACCAGATGATGCTCGGAAAAACCTGGCCATCATGGTGCTTCCATGTATCCGGCCAACTGGGTCGCAATGTTTGCAGGGGAGAACTTCACACTGCAGCAATGAGGATGCAATGCGATCATTTGTGGATTGCCAACCAGTAAGTGCAAAATAGTTTGCAATATTGAAGTGAACACCCACAACTTAGCTTAGGGACTAGGACTAGGGGCTAGTTATAGCAGACTACAATATTTAGCCTACTTGTGGTCCTTTTTGCAATCCTGGAAAAGTCGACAAAAGCATTAATTATTGTGTCTTCCTCACTTCGGTCATGGCAGTAACAATGATTGCTGTTCAAGCCCGCCTCACACCAATGTGTGAGCAACTTGAAGGATTCTACAATAAATTAGAAAATTACAAGATAAATTCTGTAACTGTTTGTGGAATATGGTTTTGGTCCTTTTCACACCTGTCCAAGTTTGGCAACATTAACATTGATCCATAAATACCTTGGTTAGGCCCAAAAATTTAGTTCTGCATGGCATGGCATTCGAAAATAGGGTAGGTAGATAAGGAAGGGTTTTTTTGCCAATTTCTTTTGTACAATCACATGGAGGTGTCTGCGTAGAGTCAAGGGGAAAAGGTAGAACAATTGATGGTTTTTGGCATTTCTTTTTCTAAATTTCCCCATAAAAAAATTAGGGTAGGGCCGGGCTGTCAGAATAAGGTAGGTAGGGAAACCGGTGGCAGAACTATTTTTGGGGCCTTATTATTCATCAACACTATTAAAAACAGAGCACTGAAACTTTAGTGTGTAAACTGCTTGTAAGCAAGAGCTCAACGGAATTTTGAACGTCAACGATAAGTTAGATGGCATTTAAATTTAAATGTGAATTTAATTTTGGACGGTTTGAAATGGCTGCACTGCAGCTGGATGGACCATTATGATCAGGCCAAAAAATACCATGCCATGTATTAATCGGAAGCACACTTGCTTTTTGTGTGAGTCCATTATTGTGCGCATGTGGATCAACTTTTGCAGTGCTACAATAAATAGTGATTTAAGGTCAAAAATTGTCGACTATAAGATAAGCACTTGTTATGCCTGTCTTCTTTTTTGGGGGGCCAATCCAACTCCAATTGATTTGTCTGAAGCATCGCCTAGTGAAATGATAATTGTTGTATATTTTACTGTTAACTGTTCACTTGAATTAAAAACCTGAAAGTCGTCTTCTCTTTTAACACAGATGGTACCCAACACCCCAACTATCTTGGAGACGAAGAAGCAGAAGCAGCGAATTCTTCTGCTATAAGGGAACCCAGAACAGGTATTCTTGTTGTGGAGCTAAAGGTTATTGAACAAGGATTCCTCATGAAAGCTTTGGACGTCTGTTTTAAGTTGTTTTATGTTCTGGGTTTGTCTTACCCTTGGCAGTACCTGTCCACCTGGGAGTTTTCCCAGATGGCCGTTTATGGTCTTGGTAAAGGGAAGGGAAAAGAAACCACATCTTGTATTGTGCGCTCTTTGCGAGCGTTCCTGAATACTCAGACAAGGAATTAAAGCCAAGGACACAATTGTTAACAATACTATCAGCAATGGACAGTTCTTTCCAGAAATTAGTAAGACATTAACACTCGAACTGGAACTATATACATGTACGATACAGATGGAAATAACAAATCACAATTTGTTTAACCTCACTTATGGGACCATAAAACAAGAATTCCCGTTCACAAATATCTTTCTTTGTACAAAACTGCCTAAAAAAAAGGGGGGGATATATTTGTGTTGACCCATGGTTATACACTGCCATGTTAACTTCTGTTTGAGAGTGGGTTTTGGAGTTTTTTCCCCATGTTTTTCCATTGGCCATTTTAAGGGACTTGCATCTTTGGTTTTGCTTTTGGCATGCGTGCAGAAGCATGACTGTTTGCATAGTGCTAAAGAATGTGCTCGAAACATGAGTTGCAAAATACATTTAAGTTGGAAACAAAATGTGACTTTGTTTCCCCTGGTTGTAAGTGTGTGTTTTTTGGTGTGTTTTTTTAATAAAAGACACAGTCTTGGTTACCACTTTTTCATATTATACGAATTATGTGGAAAAGATTATCACCATTTTAAGAATACAATGTTCATTTTAAGAACAAGTGTTTAATATATGGATTACATTGAGCCTTTATATTGAGTTTAAACGGTTAAAGATCAGATGGAAACCAAGTGGAAACATATAGGTTATTGTGTAATGTGAACCTCGAAAATGATTAGTTGGTCTTTACATGATCAATAGAGTAACTGAATGAAGACGCACGAATTGCCAATATAGTTTCAAATGAATTTGAACTTTTACATAATGCTTTCTTATTCAGCAATTGCAGCTCTCATACTCATTTCTAAGATACATGTAGCTAATATCAAGGGAAAAATCAACCAAGTAAGTTTCAAGTATTTTTTCATATTAAGAACTAATGGTGTCATGAGTGTTTGCCCTTCTGCCAAATGTGTTGGAAGGGCAAATGATGGGCGTGCATTGTTAGCAGGTAAACGAGTCAATTGTGTCTTTCTGACATTCTGGTGCTATGTAAAGTATTTTTCTTTGACACAAAAGGGTTCACACAAAAACGAATGCCATCATGTTTTCCAGTGACCACATTAGACTGTATGTACATTGTGATTTACAATTATTTGCAACTTTAAAGGGATGTGTCGTGTAGTTAAAATTTCTCACTTAACAATGACAATAATGTTTTTCTATAAGCAGTATTTGAGATGACAGACAGGATTAACATGTAAACACTGAGTGAAATAAAATAAGAATGTGCTCAGCCAAGTGCTCTGAAAAATTAATTTCTGTTCTTTTTCTTTGCATTCCAAGATTTCAATGTCTTGGACTTTGCTGTATTGTGAGGTAAGCGGCATTCCTTGTTTAAAGAAGACACATTTGTTCTACCTGCTTCATTTTTCCATGAAGCAAACAATTGAAAATCCTCCTATTTAAAGGAATGCAAGCTTCTCTCAACAACATGATGCTAAATTTACTTGAAGGCAGGTGCACACTTCGTGCATTAAGCAGAACTCAATCAAATCTGACATGATCAAATTCGCAGGGAAATAGTTAATAGTTTGAAATTCATTGAAATTCTGCAAATATTTGCCGTCTTCCATTGTTAACGTCACAAATTTTAATTCACCTTTAAGTGTGAAGCAGCCTTTACCACTTTTGTGGTTGTTTGAAAGTTGTTATAAATGTTGACCCAGTAATTTAGTTAGGTTTGATGCAGGATCGAGGTTAAATTTTAACCAAGTTGCTGGTTGGATATTGACTCACGAATGGGGTTAACCCTCGACCCAGTTGCATCGTTGAATTTTGACTCGGATATGGGGTTAAGATTTGACCCAGATTTGGGTTTAACTTCGACCAAGTTGCCGGGTTGAAGCTTGACCCAGATATGGGGGTTAAGATTTGACCCAGGTTTGGGTCTAAGATTTGACCAAGTTGGCGAGTTGAATCTTGACCCGAATATTGGGGTTAAAGATTTGACCCAGGTTTTGGGTCTAAGATTTGACCAATTTGCCGGGGTTGAATCTTGACTCTAGAATGGGGTTAATTCTTTGACCCGAATTCCGGGTAGTGATTTGATCCAGTTATGGGGGTCGTCAATTGACCCAATTTACTGGTAAAAACTTTCTGACCAAGCAATCCAGGTCATTTTGACTCCAAATTAGTCGTGCTGATCCGGATGCGGAATTTTGGTCAAAATTGACCCGTTTTGGGTCAGTTTTGACCCAGGAGTTTTAAGAGTGTAAAGAGGTGTGCGCTGAAAACTCGGACCGATCTGACCGTACACCAGGCGCCTGGATGAAATCAAATATGTCACCGGAAAGGTGTGCGGGCTGCACTCCGATTTCACCGGACACGATATTAATGTTAACCAATCAGATGCACAAAGAAAGACACCTGATTAAAAATTGACGGCTTCCACTTTGCCATCATGTGACTGGCCATCGTGTGCATGGGCGTTGCGAGGGGGAGGGGGCAAGGGGGGAGGGTCGCTTGCCTTCCCCCTGGAAAAGGGGGAAGGGAAAACAAAAGGAAACAGAGGTGCAAGCCATATTGCTGTTTATTTGATGGGGGTAGGACAAATGTTCCCCTGCCCACACTCGGAAAATGATAAAATGAGAAAATGTTTAAAAGGTGAAGAAACTTGGCGAAAAAGAATTGTCTTTGCACCCCCGGAAAAAAATCCTGGCGACGCCCATGATCGTGTGACTGACCATCATGTGACCGATTATACAGGGTGAGTCAAAAAAAGGAACCCAAATGTCGGGGCCATTGTTTTAGAGAAATTTGGAATGTAACATTTTCAAAATCTATTATGTAAAAGCTCAATTCGTGAGCATTCTTTTAGTACAAGAATCATTATATCACTCATATACTTTTTAAGATACGGACTTTTAAATACAACCACCGTTTTAAAGATCTGTCCACGGATCACAAAAAAGGTAAGTTTTCTTTCAGCAAAACGAAAACAAATCACACAGGGATGTGTGTGAATTGTTTTCGGTTTGCTGAAAGAACGCACAACGTAGATTATGCATTGGCTCCACGTCCATGCACACAATGTGTATTTACTGACCCTCTTTTGTTTGCACACTAACTTTTTAGGAAGACCTCCCATACGTTTTGTGCACGATCGCCAAATTGTGGACCCTATTGTCGTCTACTGGTCAACGTCCCATATTGAATACAAAACATACTCACCCACACACAGACATGGCAAGTTTGTATACACCTGCAACCCCCCCCCCCCCCCCAACGTCCTAATCCTTTGTTTGTACTTTAACTTTTTAGTACCGGCAGCTCTCATAATGGTTTTGTACACGAATCTCCCTCGTGGACCTATTGACAATCGTGGACCCTATTGTCCTCTATTGTTCAAGGTTTACAATTTGAAGGCGTATACATGTACACAGACACACACCCCGCCTTACCTTACACTGTACATCCCTTTGTATAAATTTTGTGATGTTAAGAACAACCAGAAAAAACTGACTCATTTTACTCGCACTGTGAACCCCCTTTTTTTTTCAACCCAATTTGTTTTATCATGATTTCCTGGAGTGTTCCTCTTCATTTTACGACTAATAAACTTAACTCAAAATGCCTCCAGAGAGTTCACCTCTAGTTGGCTCGCTTCCGGACCCCCTGAATAGCTAGACGTGCAAACATTCTAAAATGCGCAATTATTTTTGGAACATAGATTTCTAAAGAAAATGGACCTCGAAAAAGGCTATTGTAAAATGTCCATCCCCATCTTTATTAAAAGTAAGCGTGTAACGGATCAACTCAACTTTTAAATTGTATTCAAATAATAAGGGAATAGTTCGAATAAATAGCAGCAAGTCCGAACAATTTTTTTTGTTTTTATTTTCTTCAGGGAACATTTTACTTTCTTGAGCCCATGGAGACCTGAATGATTTTCATCAATTCTTGAGGTGCGCACGCGCAGTTGGGCTACCGAAATATTCCAGCCGTTGCTCGTACGTACCCACTTCGTAGTTGATGCCAGCGTGTGTGTCATCCACAGATAGACTCACAATGGCGTCTGCGTTGATCTGGACCGCAAAATCCAAGACGAATTCACCATCGAACGCGGGAAAAGGGAACACATGGTTCAAATATGTACCACTTGTGAACGTGTTGGTACACACTGAAAAACAAACAAAACAAAAACCCAGAAAAAGTGAGTAAACAAAATACTAAATGAGTAAAAACACTTGTATTTACTAAATGTTGGGTTTTCCAATTCATCGACGCACTATATAAATACCATATACTACGGGATGCATGACGGCTTGTGAAATAAATTCACAAGCCGACTTGGCGACTTAACATTTTTATTGCGGGGGCATCGAATTTATTGAAGAGCGTTGAGAACGCACCTGTAATTAATGAGGCGATTCATGCGACTCATAATAGCAGGCAGTAGACTGAGCAGCTGCTGCTTATTAATAACGAAAAATACCGTGTAGATGGACTGAAACATATCGATTTGGGGCTTACCGATTTTTGGACTATAGACATTTATAGTGGTGCCTGTCAAGTCTGCACAATAGTCATTTATTGTATAACGCTTCAGGTTTTAGGTTTTTTCCATACCATAAAATGAGTTGATAGGGAAAAACTTTAAGAGAACTTGAAATAATAGGATGGGGAGGTCAGACAAGAAGCCGAAGCTTGTACTGGATCTGCCCCCCTTCACAAAGAAAATATGTAGTTCTACAACTCATGATTAATCAAAGGAGATATTAATAATAAATAAAAGATGCAACTACATTAACTTCATGACCTAATAAAGTTACAAAGAAAACTGAATACCGTGAAGGGATCGAGTGTTAAAATTAGTGTTAAAAGTATTAATAATGGTTTTTAATGGTTTTTACATTTCTGTAAACTACGAACGTTAATACTTAATGTTTACAAATACTTTGGAAAACTTACTCAAAAGAAAATAGGTTTTAAACAGTCAAGTTCATTTTAATATTAAGCAGGCAACCGCACGCTCTGAGACGTGTGAATTATAGCCGTTAGCGCCATTATACCAACAGTTTGACCTTTAATTTCCTAATTGGGAATGCGAACACACGTCACCCTCTCAATGCTTGAGTGCGTGTGGCATGGCGGTTTACTCTCAGCTTTTAAGATTATTGGTATAACGTACACCTTATGATTTCACAAACGAAAAACGAGAAAAGCGCACCTCGTTTAGAGCATACTTAGTTCTCGTTTTACAACCTAATGGCTGATCGGTGAATGTCCATTAGAAAATATTAAAGGTGATACAAAGTCCATTGACATGTCACGGTCTTTATAACAAATTCACAAATGATTGGTAACACCGACAAAACACGCTACCATGTGATCATTTCACGATGGACAATGCTCCGGGTAATGACGAATGGAGCTAACAAATTGTTCTGCCATGAATGTTCTCCTTGAGCGTGTGAATGTACGTGGTGTACGCGTGCCGGGGTTGGTAACCAAAGTCTTTTCATAGATGCTATGCGCTAACTAAATCTATAGCACCAATTCAAAATGGTAATTGAGGAAGCAAAGACGACACCGTAACGAAACTTGGGTTTCGGTAATAGCCCTGCCTGTAAACTCACCTGAAGTGATAGTGTAGCAGGTATAATCCGCTGTCTCCCCTACGTCTTCAGAAGCGGCTTCCACAGCAGCATCTTCCAACAGACACTGCTTGGTCGTCGGCTCATAGCAGAACTGAGTACACGCGGTATCTTTCGCGCATCCCGCGGCACATCGCCGCTTGGATCCCCGTAAAGACGAGGCGAAAACATGGTGCGGAGTAGCGCCGTGATCGAGCACTTCGAATTCGAAAGAACGATTTAATGCCGGCTCAGCCAACGACATATTGGCCCCGAGAATTTCGCAACCGACTATCACAACAATAAGGAATACACTTCTCATGTCTTTGCGTCTTCAGTGCTTTCTCGTGTTTACTGCTAGAATCAACTGATTACCCTACTAAAACGGTCCCGTGTACAAGGCCTGTAAAACCTGTGAGTCTGAAGTAATGTAACGTTGCCAACCACTGATCTGCATACCTATTGGCTGTTATAATTGGTGTCACCGTCCTTCAAAATTATTACCACTTCAAAATTAGTGATAGAGAGTTTGTTTGTAGACATCGTATTACTACGCCGAAATAAACGAGGTGCACGTGGAAATAATACAAAGTGATTTTTCATTCAATTTATATTAAAGTTTGGTAGAAAAATAAAATGGTTGTAAATTGCTTCACCGAAATCAAAAATGATAGCTAATGTGTCAACAGAGGGCACTGTTTGAGTTAACTGATGCGCGTACTCTATTGTCATCTGGTCTCCATATTAAAAAAGGCTTGCGAGTTTAACCCTAAAAGGGCCGGGTTATTTTGACCATCTCTCAGCCGGGGGGGGGGGGGGGTATTCCGCCGCCCTAAATTCTCGGCCATCGAGTGACGAACATTTTTGAAACTCGGTACATGCAAAGAGCAACTCATCATGAACATGCCCAAGAAATGTCATGACTATAGGTCAAAGGGTTTGGAATTAAGGCTAAGTAATTATTCATATACATGTATGGGAAAGTTCAGTTTTCCCTGCTAAAATATTAAGTAACAGCTCGGGTCGCGAAAAAAATATCTAGGCTATCACAGAAAAAAGTGGAGGGGGAAGGGGCGGATTCCGCCCCTCAGCCCTTTCAGGGTTAAGGTACTACACTTTTGTTGTACGCATAACGTTGGGAAACGGCATGCAATAGTTTCGCTTCATGCTCAACTCGTATTAAGCTTGGTTCATACTTTATGCACCAAAATTTAAAGAGGGAATCTATGTCGCATGTCCCCCAAAAAGTGCAGGTTGTTAAAATAACTCCCGTCGCTATCGACAATTCTCTTTGCTGACACAAAACCAAAGGCAGCATAGTCTCATTGCATTTGTGCTTGGTTTTCAACAAGATCTGAGGGATAACTTTTTTGTGTTGGAGTAGTTCCATCCTCAGGATATCAATGGAGGCACAACTGGGCCTGTCCTTCATTATAATTTACATACAGTTGGAGGAAAACCTCCTCATAATGTATTCAGGATTCATTGCCCGCTACCTGTCCCTGTATATTTGAAGTCTGAAGCTTGCAAATGACAATGGAGGGCTAGTGACCGGGAACCAGTCTAACTGCGATTTTACGCGAACGCTTATCGTGGGCGCATGACGATGGAGTTTTTTGTTGGCTTAAAAATCGTCGCAGAGCTGACATACCGACGAATAAGCGAAAACCTTGTTTCGAGTAAATCGCGTTTGAAGTTGGACATTTCTCTGGGCGCCGTATTTTACCCTTAATGTTTCGATAAAAACCGTTTTAGTATATTTTCGGAATAAATTAGGAAACTAAGTATCCATCAGGTCACTTATTTGATCAGAGAAGTTGTGCGATTTGTTTTTATTTGATCGTAAAGGTATTCGTCAGTTTGTCAAATTACATTAATCCCTATCCGGTTGTTCTTTACACTGTTTGTATGCTATTCGTCAGTTTGTCGGATCGCGCGTGCACGCGCGGGCAATCCGACAAACTGACGAATAACCTTTGTTGGTACTTTGAATGCCGCCTTACATTATCTGGTTACCAGTGAAATTTCGTATTCGTCACTATGTCAAATTATGAATTTTTTTTTGAGCGATTCGCCACAAGGGGGGCTCTGAATCTCAAAATCTAGACAAAAATTAAGAATTTTGGCATAAATACTTGAAAGAGCAACCTTCATAAACCCTAAAAAATAACAAAATCTCGAAATCGCAAAAATGGTCGATTCGCCGGTTTGTCAGCTCTGCAACGAAATGTTCCATTGTTTTATCCAGTTTTTGGACGTGTTTGAGAGACATATGAAATTATGATGACATGTGAAAACATGAGGGCGCTAGAAGACGGTCGCACGCAGGTTGCCCGACGCCCACGCGTTATTTACGAGCAGGGCGCTCGCGTAACATTAAAGAGGATTAATCTTTTGGATAATTTCTTTATCCTTTTTTTAAAGGTCTGGTTGAAAGGAAAATAACCTAATGTCTTACCTTTCCCGAGAAAAGACGAGTAAACCGGTTGCTTACATCTGACACGGCGGACATAATTATTGTGGCATGCACATACGTATTTCCTGCCGTGTCCATTCAATGTACGGGTACACGTTGCGTGTGTGTCAGTCATACACAAAGCATCAATACACATATGTCGTTTCTCGCACGTCCAATGGGATGCACTCTGCAGCACCAACTAGCATTCAACAGCTCGATTTTTGAGAGTTAAAATTTTGACTCCTGAAATTTGTTCTCGCATGGTTCTCGCTAGCACAAAAATGTTTTAAAACGAATTCTGTAGCTCATTGGGCGCATTTCTGGACGCCATGCCCTTTAACATGGCGGTTTTAGGATGTAATGCTTTGCTAATGGAAACACGCAAAGCGAAAATGTATAATTGGTCTAGGTTCTTAAGATGTCTGGGGTCAATAGAGTACCGAATTGCGCTGTTCACATTGTGTGAAGACATCGGCTCGCTAACCAGAATGAACGAGAGCAACGACAGCTGACGTCACACCGTCAATCTCGTTTGTTCATTGATCTCCATGGACACAGACGTGTGATAATGGCCCGTACAGGTGGCAATTACCATGAACACTTGTCGACAAAGACCCAGACAGTTTAACAGCCTCACAGCGCTCGACGGCTTTCAAATTTGCAGGGCTCTAGTCTACGCTCGATCTGGTGTTCAAATTCTGTCAAGCCAGCTAATTATATTTTTGAATATTCATGATCCTACATTTTGGGCATTTACTGTTGAATTCTGATAATTATTGATAACTACAAATATGTTAACGCCGAACACACTATATTTAGATATATAATAAACAATGAAATGCCGCATTTGTTTGTTCGGTTCGGGACCATATCTCTCTAAAACTCTTTGATGAAAGCCTAGTTAAAAACGAGATTTGGAATTTTCTTCAAAAAAGGTGTCACACTTGACGTTTATTTCCTGGGTAAATACGTCATCTGTGACGACAAAAACTGCACAATACCATCTGTTATATCCTGAAGTACTGTACATATTTTTAAATAATTTTGGAACAAGTATATCTTACATAAGGTGTGGTTTTGCATGAAGTTTTGTGAATATTTCCGTTTTAGATGTTATGCAACAAACCCCCACTACATGGTACAGAACATTTGCGATTAACAAGCCCACGTGTATTAAGGCCCGTTATCACGCGTCCAACCGATTAAGGCAACTCCGCTCAATGCATTTTGTACTTTCGTTAAAGCTTTCGAAAGTGTTCACAAAGCGCCATCTAATTGGAGGCCATACCTGCCACTGCATGTCGTTATTGGATTCAATTGAAACCAAATGATGTATTAAATTCAATCTTTTGATGCGGTACAGAGTAATCGCCGTCGCGACTTTGGCAGGAAGTGGTTATTTCCCGATCAATCGCCACTTTCAAGACAGAAATTAGTTGGCAGTCAGTTGCCGTGTCACGCGTAGCTGTCTATTTTCTCGTCCACACAACTGACAGCAACGCGAGGCCAGCGAACGATGGCCGTACTGAAAAGGGCTTCAGAAAATTTGCAATGTCCATGCCAGACCACAACCGATCCACACAAACAAAGCTGTTTAAGGTAGTTAAAGACCTACTACATGTACATACATCTGTCAATGTATTTTTCTTCTAAAACAAAAGGGGGTTCGATACATTTTGACGGTATTATTTCACGGACAAATCGCCTAAAAATTACATGATGAAATTTCCGGGGGTTTTCGACAATGACGAAAGTCTCCCGAATGTTGAGGTAATCAAAGGAAAGAATGAACCTTCATCTACAAAAAAAATCTCGTGAACGTGATGTCGTTAATATTTTAACAATTCGGTTTACATGTTTCCAACAACTTCATTTTCTACAACACGAAAAAATCGTCACCATTGTAAAAACACAGAGCAAGGAACCCAGACACGGTATGACCTTGTGACCCCCTATGCCCACTGATTGGTTGAGCTCGAGATGGCCTGCTTAATATTCATAAGTCATTCATTGCACGTTCGCGCGTGCTATTAACAATGTTCAGGCGTTTACACGAGAACACTTGTGATTGCAAATCATAAAATCTCGCAAAAGTTTTCATTTTACACTTTCATTTGTTTGAAAACTTTGCCGCCATTGTATATGGGCTGCCGCAAGCGCATAAATTGAAGCCGTGGTTGGCAACATATTTTTATAAACATTCCAAAAAAAGTCCCCATAACTCCCTCAATACAAAGTAAAAAGGCATGTTTAAGAATTATGTTGTACCTTTGTTGACACTGTTGTATTTCCATCAATCTAATAGTATTTTGGTTATCTGAAATAATTCTTCTTCATCTTTGCGTTGGACCTTCCATAGTTTTGCAGGCCGTGGTTGGCAAAAATGCAGTTTGCCAACCAAGCGCAGAAAGGTCTATTCAAACGGCGATTTGGACCAACAATTTAAAAGTCTCCTGCACGTGTTTCACATGAAAATGAAGCGTAGACTATCATCTATCTAATGAATCTTGCCATTTCTTCGGCCTTTTTTAAGAATTGAATTTACACCTACAAACTATCGGCCTTCACTTTTGTTGCTATAAAGTATAATTTTTCTTTGACAGGTAGTAACAACACTTTATTTTGTCAAAAGCAGTTTTATTCGGTATCAAAATGAAGCACACGATTTCAACTTCACTAACCTAGCCATCTTGGCGAAACAGTTACTGTTTCGTGTTTATATGTAGTCTCGAATGCAGTCTCGTAAAATCTCGTGTAGGCTTTTGGGTCATGCGTACGTGACTTCGGGGCTTTGTGGGTGACACGGCCACTGACTGGTTGACCTCAAGTTTTTAACCTCATCGATTTAGATATCAAATAGGCCTATGTAGACCTCGTGCGTGTATGAGCAGTTAGTATATATTTTTAGCAATTTGAGAACCGAACACTCACCATCCATTCAATTCAATCTGACTTTATAATCCCTAGTGGTAAAATTTCCGT